ACGCAATCTGATAACGCACGTTTGTACCCTTTATCACTCATCATCTGAACGAGCGTGTAATTGGACCTTCACGTGAAACGTACGCAAGCACCAGCCTTTTGTTATGACTAGTATTTATCTGAAACAAATCGATCGATAGATATTTTTAGCTTGTTTGCTTTGTTTTGCCAATGAAGGTCTCAGGGCAATTTTACTTTCTGATTGTAAGAATAAATACTATTAATTTACATTATTATATTCATGCAAATATTTTCCGTTTCTGATTGGCTCAAATCCCGCGGCTTATTCTTCATAGCCACCTAGTGTGGACGAAGGAAAAAGTTTGCGATATAGGTAAAATATAATAACATCGCCAGAAAGGACAAGAAAACCGAGAAGCCCTGGGGACGAGATTGCGTCATCTCAGTTCTTTTGGTAGAGCTGGAGAAAATGGCGGCAAAATCCTGATTTCATGCGAAACTACAACTCAAGGGACGACAACTGCTATTTGAAGAATGGGTTCCTGACATCTCTTTGTAAACTGAATTTACCCAGAAAAAGACCAGACGGGAACTAAGCTTAAAGCATGTTTTAAAGTGCGTATTATTTTTTTTCGTGTTCAATTGGCCTGACAATAAGAATTTTGATTCTATCATCTCAAATGTTTTTCAACGTGACTCGAAATTAAAACAAATAAAAAATCTCGGTTATAGAGTGTAACGGATATTGATATCGTTAGACACATCTTACAATAACTTAATTTCAATAAATCAAAAGCAAAGCTCAAGAAACAGTTAAAAAGCCATAATCCTAATTTATGATGTCTCTTGTGGTAACTCTTCCTTTTCTTCCATTCACAGTCTTTACCACCGCCGCCACCATCATCTCATCACCACTGCTTGTCCAGTTTGGACTGCGTAAACACTAAGAATCAATAGATCGTCTTCACTGTCACGCAACAAAGAAATAAATTGGAAACTGTTCAGTGGAAGAAGCCAAGAAAATAAGATGTTATAAAAGACTAATATATAAACAATTTGTCCAAGTCTTAGGTCTTTGTGGCCCACAGTTTCTGAGTTATTTGCCGAAACGTTTCACGCACCTTTGTAGAGCTTTGTATGGAGACGCCATATTGGTGTACCGTTTTGGTGCACCAATATGGCCGCCGGAAATCAACAAAAACATCTGGAGTTCACTTTGCTACGGGACTGGAAAGTTGTACAAAGACTTATTTTCTGTCTATCTTCAACCTAGTGTAAATAAGAATTCGTAAAGCCCCACTATTTTGACTTTACAATTTGATGACGTCACTGTGAAAACCATCTATAAACAATACGTAGCAAAAAAACTCATTATTTTCAATAAGTCGACTGATACGTCAGTGAGCTTCCTGGCTGTTTATAGACGCGAAAGATCTCACACTAGGGTGGCCCGAATCTATTTATATGCGTGTTGGTTATGTTTTGATTTGCGTTTTTCAGAATGAAAGATTCAACCGATTTCTATTATTTTTGGCATCCTTCATTAAACAATAATGGAACTTTAAGAAAATGTTATTTATTTTCTTGCAGTTATAAAAACCTTTGAGATGTCGGCATATATTTATAACCGCATTTTTATGAAAAATGTAAATGACTTCGAAACCCCACGACGGATTTTCCCCTAACTTCAGCAAATAAGCCTCAGAGCTCTCTAGTTATACATCTGCAAGTTTGAAGGCAATGCTACGCTAATTACACATTTGTGAAAGTTGACGCACAAATAGAGGAAGACTGCCGACCGGACTATCTAGTCCTATCTGAAAGGATATTCCCACCTAAAGCTTTATTGCAAGAAACAGAGTAATCAGAAACTTATGGCGAATACAGTTAGCACTTTAAGAAGAACAATTTTAAGCTAAGTAAGCGGTGATATTAACCCTTTAAGCCCTAAGAGTGATCAGTGTCAAATTTCTCCTTGTAATATCACTGCTTTATAAAACACAGTGGTCATGAGAATTGAGGGCCTGATCACACAAGATAAATCTAATTGATACTTCAACAAATTCTGCCCACTGCTTCTATTGAGAACATATAGGGACAACAAATGAGAATTTGAATTTTGATATTAGGGTTTAAAGGGTTAAACTTACTTTGTATTTCTCCCTCTCTTTTAGAAACAAAGCAAAATATAGCTTCTACGAAAATCTGTCAATCTTTTTTAGCGTCGCAGGTTCCCGTTTTGAAGAGAAATAAGGCCACCAACTCCAGTACTTCTAACCATCCATTTTTCAGCTGCAATAAAAACCCTTGAATAATTTATTTAACGCTTTCAAGACTTACCATCACATTCGATTCGCACGGGCAATTTACTGTTGGGGATAATGAGACAAATAAGACGTTTGTCATATGTGTCTTCATCTTTATTCCCAGGTGGTAAACTTCCCGTGAACGTGTCGCTATGGCTTTAAAGTTTTAAAAGTCTTTTTACAACTGATGTTGAGCAATCGTCTGAGACGAGCTTGTAAAAACACCTGCTATTGGTGTCTGGTAATGCGTCTCGTAGGAACTATACGGAGAGTTAACTGTGCTGTTTTGGAAATGAGTCAACCAGGTCGCGAATCATAGAGAGGGAGACCTAGAAACCCAAACTCAGATCACAATATAAAGTCGCTTATATAGTATTATGTGAAGAGAATTGCAGTCAACGCCATTAAACTATTGTGCATACTGCGCATATCTGTCAATTTTACGTTAATGAAAAATCACGTTAGATTTTATGAAAATTTAATAATTGCAAATATTGGTTGTTATACTTTGCTATGCCTTGTAAAGAGTTGACTGGGATTTATCAAGGAAATTGACATACAGACTACTCAAAGCACTTTATTTTGTATTTTTTGGTTAAAAGAACGCAACTTTGTCAACTGACATTTCAAAGCAGGTTGCATTCTGTTGACTAGAGGTATTCTTCTTATCTGACTGTATAAACAGTAGTTAATTATATAAAAGATAATAAATAAAAGATTTTTGAAATTTTTGAATAAAAAAGGCTTCTTTAAACGAAAATTTGGTAATAAAGTTGTGTAACTGCGTTCTGACTTACCTTATCTCAAGGGAAATGTAACTGATTAACGTTAGCTCGTAAGGCATTAAGTCTTTTTTTCTCTTTTTCCATTAAAAAAGAATAAACCTACATGAAGATGAGCTGGCTACCTTTTTAACTAATTATATAATAGGCTTTAAGTACAAACACCGGAAACACAAACAGGACATAGTATTTGGTAACATTAACGAATTAAACTTTATCGTGGTTTATTTTGTTGGGTTACCGCACCTGTTGGAAATTGAATTTTTTTGGCGCCAAATTAAAGAAACAATGGTGGTGGTGGTGGTTATAATGCAATGAATTTTTCGGAAAAGGCTTTGTGTTAGAGAAAAAAAAACGTTTTATCAGCAAGCTCTGAAAAGGCTAAAGCTATCTAACATCCCACAGAGATTACGTAAAGAGGAAGCCACAAGGAGATTACAGTTAAACGCATTTTATTGAATGTAGGAAAATGTGGGAAGAAATGATTTGCATACCTGTAGACATTATAGTACACAGATTCTACTTTCTTCAGAAAGAAATACACAGACGGTTTTCCACCAATCTTTTAAACGTTTTAAGATAATACTTTCAAATTGATTGTCAATCTAGCTAATTCGGTTTATTTATGTATGCATTTTTAAAATGTCCTCGTCAAATTTCGCCGACGCAATGTACAATAAAAAAATAATGACACCTCAAATTCAGCCCACAAGTGTTGCACATTGATTTTAGCGTGTTTATTATAAACATTTCGGTGAACTTCACCATTTTCAGTGCCCTTTGAGCAGTACAAAAAATTAATGAAATCTATTTTTCCGTTTTGCAAGTCTGATATGCGGTTCTAATCTATTTTATCATTTGGTAAACTGGAAATTTGGTGAAATGAACCTCCCTTTCACTATTTGACTTTACTATCCAAGACAAGTAAACAACTCAACTATATTTCTTTTAACAGACTGCTGAAGACAGGACTTCACCTGCCACCATGAGGGCTTACACGGTGACATTAGTCCTCATGTTGCTTCCGCTTATTGTTAGAAGATCTGATGAAGCTGAAGAAAAAGAGAAGTAATCAGACCCTTATACAAATCTATATTTTTTGTGTGTGTGTTTAAAGATAGTTTTGATTTAAACTTTGCCTGTCAGGGACAAGGGCGAGTACTGCAAAAATTTCCTTGAAACGAAGTTTTAATCTATCCTCTAGCGGTACTTTCGTTGATTATTTTGCAAAGATTACTGAAGGAAATTCAATTATTAGTCCCAAATTTTCTATCCAGGGGTTGGATTTTTCTTGTTCTATTTTCTCTATCATGTACTACAAGCATTTTTAAGTCCGTGTTGAATGGGGTTAAAATTAAGCGGCGACTATTCGATATGCTGTTTGTGTCCAAAACAGTAGCGATAGAGGAAATTAATATGGGTACATTCATAGCATAAAACTACAGGAAAGAGTGATTTCTGTCCCGCCTTACTCTTTATTTTCGAAAAAAAAAACCTGTTCATCTCTTTTAATTGACAAAAAGAAAGCACAATTAGGTACTAAGTGATTCTGAAGTAAATGACGCGAGTTCGTTTTTGAGTAACCTGATGAAGTGATCTCTTTCATACTGTTAAGTAGATGGCATTGTTAGCAGGATAGAGTTGTTTACAACTCGAAGAAAGGCAGAATATTTAATTTGTTGTGACTGTATGCAAGAAGCCTCTTCAAAACGTTTTGGCCGAAAAGAGAAATAATATCAAATTTTTCAAAGAAATTGTGAGAATATTGATCTTGCTCAATGGTCTGAACGGTATAAGGCCAAAAAATGTCAGCGTAGAGTGCCAACTTTAAGCCGTTTTGCTATTCGGATCAGTCTTTGATTAAATATGTTTTTAATTTTGTCAAATAACTAGGAAAAATGTAAAGGATAAAATTTTCAGGGAATGTTGACCATGTTATGGCCAGCAGACGGGAGGTCAAGAGAAATATGAGAGCACAAACTAGATTGTAACGTTAAAAACTTGCAGTTCATTTATTTCATTGGTTCCTTAAGTGGGCAAAATATAATATTATCGGCTAGTATTTTCTTCTATACCACTAAACATCTACCTGTCTTCACTAACTGAGAAAATACGAGGTCAAGAGAAAAATGACCTCAATGCACTCTTCTCGGAAGCCCAGTTTTGTGCTAGTATGGCAGCATGCTGCCTGCGCCGTATATTATAATCAGGTAGCTTTTCTCTTCATTATAGAGCACTGGAAGACTATGCGAAATCCATGGAGCTGGCCTTAAAACTTTCACAGAAAATAAATGAAGCTTTAGCAGTACACGACAAGAAGGTGCGACCAAACGCAGGAGGTAAGAGCAGCTTGTAATTAGTATATAGTTTACTGTCCCTTCACAGCCACGTTCATCGACTCAGTTAAGCTACCCTTGAGGAGCAATTTTATGTTCTACGATTATTCTCGATTCTAGTTGTCACAGCTTCGACATTCTAGAGATGAATTAAGGAGGAGAAAAATATAGGGTAAGTGCGGACCCAAAGGACACAAACTTTCAGTCTAAAAGGGGATAAAATTAAAAAAACGTACATTTCATGTATATGATTTCTCTCACAGGTCCACCAGTTATGGTTGATGTAGAATTCAAAATTATCTCAATTGGAGAAATTAAAGAAGCTCAGATGGTAAGAGGCACTCTAGATTTGATTTAGTTCAGATGTCGCTCGGTTACTCCCGGTATTTTTGATCATTTACATCTATCTTGCTTCTTCATAAGTCGAAAGCAACCTGTAAACCAGCTATTTGCTTAAATTGTCATAATTATCATCATTATTAGTGGCAATTGCTATTATTATTTTTTATGGAAGACTTTATAGTAAAATTATCGTCTTTTATAAAGTGCAATTACGAGCCCAATAGCCTTGGCAATTAAACTATGTATAAAAGCATTAAAAAAACAACAATTAGGTTGGGAATAAAATGAATAATAAACTAGTAGAAATCAACGATAACAATTTAAAATGAAGATCAATATTTATGTAGTCAAAAACAGTCTCATCTATAATTAATCTTCGTGGATTATTATCGCTATTATTAATATTATTAATATTATTATTATTATTATTGGTTCTTATAGTTGGATAACAAAAATCATTAAATTGAATTGATTGCTGAGTGTGAGCTCAGCTTAACCTATTAATCCTGACCTTTTACCTATAAAGGAATACACAATGGATATATTCTTCCGTCAATGGTGGACTGACCCAAGACTGGCACATAATATGAGCACGCCTTTCAATATGGCAGGAGACGCAACTCAAATGATCTGGACACCAGATACGTTTTTCTGGAATGTCAAAGCAGCAAAATATCACAGGGTAACGCGAGAAAATATGAGAATAAAAATACATGGAGATGGAAAAGTCTACTTCAGCACAAGGTAAAGTGACTGGTAATGCTCATACATGTAAAGCGTTATTGTAAATATTTATTATTATTATTATTATTATTATTATTTATTATTATTATTATTGTTGTTGTTGTTATTATTATTTGCAACCGAAACACATCAAGTAACTAATAAAACAAGCGTGTGCCTTTCCAAGGCTGGTTTCTAGATGAGTGGGATTTTAGCCAATCAGAAACGGAAAAATATTTTGAGTGAATAACAATACTGAATAATACTTGGTTCCGAAGCTCAGAGATTAAAAAATAGAGAGATTTTAACCACGTGGTCAAGTATACGCTTGACTCTAAACAAGCATTGGCCTTGTTGCAGTCAAACAAACAAACGAATAAACAAACTCGGAAACCCTGCCCGCCCCATTGATTATTATAAGAGTTACACGGGTGACAGTTCTTACAGATGTCAGTTCATAGAGGTTCTCGATGTCGCTTTTCTCACCTGGTTCTTAAAAGAAGCAGGTGTTGCTGAACTCTTAAAAAGCATACTTAGTTTGAACCATGCATATTAAAGGACCAATATATCTAATACTGTGTTTCCCATAGATGGTATACGTAGTATTTATTCTTGGAATAAAAAAATTGTCTGAATTTGTCAGGTTATAACTTCTGTTATTTAGGGTGGCTCGACTGGATTTTTTAGGGAGTATACCTCCCAACTTTGGGCGTTTACCACGTCGCCATTAACAAAGATAACTCAAAAAGGTTACCACAGCGGCACTGTGTAAAGATGAAAGTTTCATATTTTTATGTATTGGCCTTCAACCTCTAAGTTGTTTTAAGGTTTGACATATATTCTTTTCTTTTTAGCATTACTTTTACAGCGCAATGTGATATGAATCTTCGCATGTACCCAATGGACATTCAAGTTTGCCCTTTAACTATAGAGAGTTGTAAGTACAATCTCTGTTTCCTAATAACCCTGGATTTATCATGTTTTTTCATGTCCTAAAGATTGTTTCATAGTAATAAACGTCTGAAGTGAAAGTAACTGCAGTCGTTTGGTGAGCCAATACTTTGCTTCCTGATATTTTAAAGTACGTTGATCGGCTTTTTAATTGATTGTCTCAAATGAAACTCCTGTTTTTTCTCACGTATCAATAGGCCATTTCCGAGTTCCCCCGGGCCTCTGCTTTAAAACGAGGATAGGTGCTCAGCCTTTGATATGCAAATCATTTTTAAAAACTCATTTTCACAAGAATGGTTGTGCACCTGGCCTCATTTTGAAAGTAAGGGCTTTTGGAACTCGGAAGTGGCCTATTGCAAGCTTGGAAATGAGGACCATGAGCGTCAGTCTCTTTAAAAAGTCGACAGTCGATCAAGTTATAAACACAACAAATGAAATCTAAAAAAAGACCGCAAGTCAACTACGCTGTGACACCGATACTTGTGATGGATAGACATGCCAACTTCAACGTCAACGTTATTTGCACTGTGCAGATGAATTTATCTTACACATAGAGAATATATAATTTTGTCACAGAAATGTACTCAAATATTGATAAACGGAAAAGCTAGAGAGGATGTGCACAGTGGCCAAAGGGGCCCAGGTTTTCGAGTTGGCCTCTGTCATGTTTGAAATCTAATCTGTGGCTGCCCTCGAAAGTCGTACTTGGCATCCGAAGGAGTCTCGTTGTTATTCGCAAGAAAAAGAGAAAAACTTAAATCGTCAGATCTTTTCTTTATATCCAAATAATCTTTAACTCTTCAGTTCTTCAGATAACAACTTAGTCTGCCTTACACGATACGGAAGAGCGAAGGATTACATGGATTGTAAACCTAAATCACACATGTGATAAACAAGAACATGGCGGCAACTAGCACGAGTCCTAAGCAAAATGGTAACAACCACTGACCATAAATACTGAAAACTCCTTACTACAGCATTGCTGTAGTAACATAATCAGAAAAAACCAAGGTTTATATTCGTTAAGATAAGCGGGCACATTACTAGGATTAAATTAGCTGCAAAAACCGTGGACGAAGATCCTGCTAGTTGTAAACGTTGGATCTCTAGAAAAGAGATCAAATCAGCCAAAATATAAAGAAACAAGAACAAGAAGTCCAAAGACTACTGCAAAGCTGATTAGGCAAGCATAATCTACAGTAAATATTATACTAACTGAAGCATATCTTAACCTGGGAGCTCACTCACGCGCTCATTCATTCCATGTGATTAGCTCCTCATTAGTGATAAAAAATATCTTCCACGTTTCAGATGCACATACCAGAGAAGATGTTGATTACCGATGGAAAGGAGGCAAGTCACAGGGTGTTGAGATTTTCTCCAAGGAAATGGCTCAGTTTGAATTTGTCGGAGCCAAAACGTCGACTAAGGCAAACACCAACAGCAAAGGCAAGCAATTTTAATCAGTTAAGATAAAATTTGTAGCATTTTCGTTTAGGTCATTTGGCTCTTCATTTTTTTAAATTTGATTTTACGGACTTTAAAATTAGTTATTCTCTACATGCACAGACTAGCGTTTGTCTTTTTGTCTGTAAATAAAGGATCCTTTACTAGTCTGCAAGCATTTTTTACCTTCAAGAGACGTGTGTCGTACTTCATTACCGCCACCTTTATGCCAGCAGTGGTTCTTGTGATTCTAAGTTGGTGCTGCTTTTGGATCGACCGTTCTGCTGTTCCGGCACGAGTAGCTCTCTCCATAACAACTATTCTAACTACCATTTTGTTGTATGGCTCAGTCAACTCCAATATGCCCAAGGTAATTTTACTGAAATAACAAACAAGAACATTAAGGCAGATACTGCAATAAGAGATAAGCACTGCGAGAAAAAAAAAACATTAATCAGTTTGATAGAACCCAATAACGCAGGTCTGCATCCGAAGACAAAGCTTCTCAGCCCTCAGTTTTGCTTTCGCTGTTACTTCAGGGTGTTTTTTCTCCTGGAAATCTGAAGTACACGACCATCATTTCCATTCGAGGACCATTGCCATAGTCAAGCATTTTACTATAGATATCTGACACCCACTTTAAACACTAGAAGAGTGACACGATCTGGGGCGTACGATACGCAGTGTTAGTTCCCCAAGTAAATTCTGAGAGTGTGCAAAGGAGTCAAAGAAGCCCTGTCTTCAAGACATTAACCTCTAAATAGACATGTTAAAATTGTGGCCTTTTCCTATATACCTTGAAATTTTACCCCATAGTAGCGCCCCAATGAGTTACTTAGCACTAAAAGTCGCTGAACGGGGCAACGTACTGTAGAATCTATCAAGAATCTATCAAGAAACTACCAAGTCACAGTTACCGGCGAATGTTGAAGCTCGTTGCGATTTACGTTATAAAAATTGTTCACATACTGAGAAGTTTTCTTCGTGGGATAACAGTTTACTTTCAAAACTACTGGTCCCTCGAGAAACTTGTTAATTTTGTCTGCCGGGAACTTCAATGTTTCTCCAGGGGCCAGACATTATAGTTAACTTAATTAACGCCTTGTGACAAAAAAAAATATATTTTTAAGAGAACAAGTTTTGTTTTTGCACAAGAATAAATTGACACGATAGGCACAAAAAGAAGGAAAAATATGCGGTTTCAGAAGTATAACTTGGTGTTTAAGGCTATAACTTTGAAGCGGTCACGGTTTCTTCTGACTCATCATCACTTTTAACGTCAATATCATGCCGCCTACAACAATACTCCCAGCTTCCTTCGTTTGTGGCGTATAGGTTTTAATGATATATAATTATTCAAACACTACAGTTTCGTCATGTTGCTTCTTTTCTTTATCTCTATCCTTATTATCCTGGCTTACTTGTGTGGCACAATTTAACGACGCGTGCATAAGCACTGAGATTATAAAGTGCGTTAGTCTAAACGTTCGACGCAGGTGAAAACAAGCCTTAATACTAATGGCTTAAATTTGGCTTTTTGGCAGGTAAGTTACAGTAAAGCTATCGATTACTTCCTGATGACGTCACTGGGCTTTATATTTATGGCACTACTGGAATACATCCTTGTGCTTAACACGGATCCACGTTTCTGTACACAAAGACGAAAAGAAGAAAGAGATGACAAGATGAAGTCATTATACAAGGTAACGTGTTGACTCTGAGCTCTTTTCAGACAAAAGAGCGTTTCCACATGACCATATTGGTGTTCCAAAATAATGTCTTGTTCCAAGAAATTTTGTTTAAATGCTTTCCACGTGAGTAAAAACGCTATCAGAGTGAACACTTGAAATAAACGGAAGTTCTTCATTTTAGAACCTTTTTGCAGCCACTTAAAAGCAGTCAACATAAATGTATTAAACTTTAGTTGTAAAAATGAGTAATAGATGTTTATTTGTCCCAAAAACATAAAGCATAGCGTAGTCTTGGTTTGATTAGGTTGCTTACTGATGCTTTATTTTTTGGGTCAGTTTGTTTCAATCCCATGTATATCTAATACCAACATTCTTTTGGCAAGCAGCAATTTTTTTATTTCATTATTATTCAAAAAGTAGTTTAAGAATATGTTTAATCGATTGGATCATTTCTAGGAGATTCCTCCTGACACCCTTGTTGGCTTAATGGATGGAAAGAACAAACCAGATGAACTTCCCATGACGCCTTTAAACGGAGACAGCAAGATGATTGACAAGGAGCCGCCCCAGACGCCAGAAAATGTTAAGAATCATTGGATCGACTGCGTGTCCAGAGTTGCTTTTCCAGTGATTTACTTCTCATTTATAATTTTTTACTGGATATACTACTTAAATCACCCTGATTCTACGCTTAGTAACTAAGTGCAGGAATAACGTTTTACGCTTAACAAGACCTGGACTTGAGTTATGTCAAGAGAGGGTAACTTCAATGTAATTTTAAAAGTTTTGAACATGATAGAGTAAGTGTAAAAACTTTCGGATCTTTGTGATCAACGAAAAAGTTTCAGCTTCCAAACACTCTGGCGGTAAGTAAAACCACAGGGATTGTGAGCTGTGATCCAAATTCGTACGTCACGACAGATGAATTTGATCACCAAGTAAAGACACAAGGCAACCGGAAAATACGTTCGGATTGAGCAATGAAAAAATAGCCTGCGTTGCAGCCGGCCCACACACTCGTAACCTATAGTCCGTCCGTCTGCGAATTAGTGCACAAAAACTCGTTCTAATGTCCTGCAGAGTCGCAAGGACATAAGTGAGCGTTTCTGATAGGCGGGTTTCTCATGAGCCTCACGATTGGCCTATTCTTACGTGTGCGTGACGGTTGAGCGCCGTGACGTGTCAAGGGAGTTGGCAAGAATCGTTTACAGTAAACAATGAAAGAGCAGGTCTAGCGTCAAAACAAAGTAGGAAATCACGATCTTCACGGCCAAAAAAAAACTAAAAAAACTATTCAGGTCCACAAACCAAAGCTATTCAAAGGTCCATGCATTAAATGGAGAAGTGCGAAACCAAAGAGTTTAAATTAAGACGTTTTATTGCGACTGAAACAGCAAATAAAAATGTGAAATTCGACGTTTAAGGTTATTTTTAAAAACAGAGAGATAAAAGAAACTGCATCCGTGATCACATCTTGTCAGAAAACATTTGCCGAAACATAAACCACAGTAACAACTAATTACTCAATATGCATGGCACAGACCAGCTTCATAACCTCTAAATGCGAGACTCAGGGTGGCAAAAAAATTTTGCCCAGTCAAAGTGTAGAATACTCCATGCACTGCATAAACTACGCAAAAAGAGAGCAAGAAAAACCTCTATTGCTCAAGCTGACTCTAAGGTTACGTTCCACACTATCACAAGCTCAATCCACCGCTTGTCACGAGCTATTAGTCGTGTTTGGGCTGTCAACACTTAATTCAAATCGGACTAATCACAAAAAGCGTAAGAAACTAGCCAATCAAAAACGTCGACACATGTCATTGCCACTCTGCGGGGTTCGAACACGATATTGTGCGACGCAGGCAATGAAAAAAGAATGTTGACGAATACTACTCTAATCAAATTACTGAATGCACTTTCCTATGCCCTGAAGCTAATATTTGACCTGGTTCGTGAGCATTTTTTCATGTGACCGGTAGGTTTGCGTTTGCAAACTTCATCTATATTTTCACTTTAGAACTGTTATTTTATGAGTTTCTTTTTTCGCTTCCTTGGCTGCCACTGGTAGTTCAATTTGGGCATGGAATCATGCTGTTTAAAATCTTAACTTTTAAAAGTTATGCCAGCTAACGTTTCAGAAAGCTGGTCCACTTTAGGAGACTTTACATAGCATGCCGTTTAGTTATGGATAAACTCCTTAAACTTTAAGCTTCGTTTTTACCTTCTGATGTGACAAAATGTTTGATTACACAGCACGTATAAAAAAAATTCCGCAAGCATGAAGGAAAACAAACATTGTAAGGACGTAACAAAAAGAAGGAGAGTATAGTTTATCTTACTGCATTAAAATCTAATGATAACCTGACACTCAACAGCTTTAACTGCTAACATTAACATTATATTCATAAGATAAGTACACACCAGATCCATTGCATTATTTGTCTAATTATTATTAAAACATGGTAACGACTATCAATTCCTAAATATATTGACCTTTATTATCTCCGTACTAAATTGCAATGTTAATGAAAGTACTTTCTTTTAACGTGAACTGTGTAAACACTGTTGGTACTTGAGTTGTACAATGAAGTTGATTTCGCCTAGCTTCACACTGGGTTCTGTTTAGTTTTATTTATAATAGAACTAAGGAAAAGTCCAATAGGCCATTTCCGAGTTGCTCAATTAAAGCCTTTGTTTCGAAGCGAGGCTATAAGTGCGAAGCCTTTGATAGAATAAAGAAAAATTGAGACATTTTTCTTTTGTTGTTTTACCTTCACAAAACATCACAAATAAACATTCTAAGTAAGATTTGGCAAAGACTTTTCTTCCCAAGCCTTTATAAAAATTTTAAGATCAAACCCAATCCGTTTCTGAAATGACCGCGCGATTTTGACTAAAGGGAATGGAACGAGCTTGCTACAGCGAACAACTTGCTAAAGACCGGTTTCCATGCATATGATCGTCCCGATCGTCCCAGTTGCCTCGAATAATGTTCAGACGACCGAAACGACTATATGGGAACACTGCCAGGACGATCTCAAACGACCCAGACGTCTGAGACGACCTCGATCGCTTGAATGGAATTGAGTTCTATCCAGACGATCGGGACGATCAAGTAAATTTTGAAGCGATCATATGAAAACGCTCTCAGCAGTCCTCTGAGAAGGCGATCTGAACGATCTAGGGCGCTTTCCCAGAAATCAGCAATCTTATTCCAGTTATCGCGAAAAAAATCGGCCTGGACGCCGCTGAAATCGAAAAAAAAATCTGAAACAAAAATGTTCCCACCGAGTGTGGGCTCTATTTGAAAAAAAAAAGTCCGTTCCATCAAGTTCTCGACGTGACGTCACTATGTCTTCGTGGAATTCTTCTAGCTCGTCTACGCCGAAAAATCGAAAGAAAAAGCGGACCGCGCGCAAGACACGAGTCCCCAGGTCCCCAGTCTCTTTCTCTAAAAAGCCGTTTCCTGTTCCCGTTTAGTATATCATATGAGTGTTTTGTTTAAGTTAAAATAACTGCCTTTCAGCAGTATTAATATGAAGAAACAATTTTAGGACACTTCTGAATTGTAAGATCATGATAAAAATTCAAAAGAGAATAAGAATGAAGCCATTAGTACACATTGGAAAGAGAAAGTGACGTATCAACATAAGACTAATAAGACCTGCAAATCCCGCGCACTCCCTAACCTTTGGCTATGACTAGTATTAATTTCAAACAAATCGATTGATAGACATCTTTAGCTTGTTTACTTTGTTTTCCCAATGAAGGTCTCAGGGCAATTTTACTTTCTAATTGTAAGAATAAATACCATTAATTTACATTATTATATTCATACAAATATTTTCCGTTTCTGATTGGCTCAAATCCTGCGGCTTATTCTTCATAACCACCTAGGGTGGACAAAGGTAAAAGTTTGCGATATAGGATAAAATATAATAACATCAATAGTACCGGTTATCGCCAGAAAGGGCATGAAAACCGAGAAGCCCTGGAGACGAGATTGCGTCAGCTCAGTTCTTTTAGTAGAACTGGAGAAAGTGGCGGGAAAATTCTAATTTCATGCATTTTGGAACTCGCTTCTGGCTAAAACCAAACGGAAAAAGAAACTACAACTCAACAGACGACAACTGCTATTTAAAGAATGGGTTCTTGACATCCCTCTGTAATCTGAATTTGCCCAGAAAAAGCCAAATATAGACAGGAACTAAGCTTGAAGCATGTTTTAAAGTGCGTATTATTTTGAAGGCCTTTTGACCTCGGCGTAAAACACCCTCCTCGATCTGCATAATTATTGAGAGCATGCTCAGCAACATAAAATAATTGATAAACTGACAGGTATTTTACACCTTTTTTTTTTTCACCGGGCATGGGGTCTGACTAGCGTACGTTTGAACATTTGCTAAATTGATTGTTACTGTAGCCTTGGGAATTTTTATTCTATCATCTCAAATGTTCTTCAACAGGAATCGACATTAAAACAAACAAAAAATTTCGGTTATACAGTGTAACTGATATTGATATCGTTAGACAAATCTTACAATAACTTAATTTCAATAAATCCACATCAAAGCTTAAGAAACAATAGCCATGGTAACTCTTCCATTTCTTCCATTCCCAGTCTTTTACCGCCGCCGCCACCACCATCATCTCGTCACCACTGCTTGCCCTGTTCGGAACGCGTAAACACTAAGAATCAATAAGCAACACGTTGCAAAAAAAAAAATTTTCAATAATTATTTTCAATGGCTGTTTATAGACGCGAAAGTCGACTGATTTATATGAAAAATAAAGTCTTACATAAGACGCGTTTAAATTGGAACTGTTTATAGCATGTCTTATCTAGTAAGACGCGAAAAAAAGATCTCCGATTAAATGGCCCTATTAAGTTAAACCTCTCAAATCATTTTTGGAAATGTATATTTTTTTGTAATTTACAGAAACCATGATTTTGAAACATACTGCTGAAAATCAATTTTATAGTTGGTTATCAACAATTGAAGTGATTACTACTTCTTCAAGTGTTTCTTTGCTTTCACCTTGTGGAATTTTTGTAATTTATAGAACCATGATTCTGAAACATACACAATACAGTTGGTTACAATATGTGATTACTTCCTCGCTTTGCTTTCACCTTGGTACATTGAACGCAAAGATTAAAAATGCTGACGTGGGCTTTTTTGATCTGGAGGAAAGATTTCTTTCAATAAAGACGATCCTTCGAGTGTTACGTGAAACGAAGATATGCGCAACTGATAAATTGAAAGTCGGATGCCTTCTAAATATTTAATGTGACTGAATATATTACTTAGTTTTCTGTTCTTCTACAGACTTGTCTCAAGTGTAATGCTATCGGGTAAAGCCGCTTTCTATTGGTTTAAAAGAATATATCTGACAATAAGCCATGAAGCTGGTAACAAGAATCAAGCCATAAGGGGCCAATATTGGGACCAAAGGATAAATTCGCGATGACAGTGAAAAAGGTATCGTTTGAGTTTTTAGGGTGAAGTCAGTATAATTTTTTCACGGCTTAAAGTGTTGATGTTTTTCTTTTCGACAGGTTGTAAGTCTGGTTTTATGTTTGGGTTTGGTGAACGGACGGCAATTCCTTTTTTGTGAAGGTAAATATATGTTTATCCAGCCAAAGGAAGCGATTTCTTTTTTGAAACCTTTTTATGCTGCAACTGTTTTCCCTGTCAAGGTTGACTAGATAGCATATGCCGGCTTTTCGTAACGCGCAATCAGTGTTGAACAATAGTTAAAACCTTACCAGAGGTATAGAGGCAATCCCGGAAAGTTCAATAAAGACAGCAAAAAAAAAAATCTCCTTAAACTGAAAAAATCTAAGTAAATTGAAGAAACAGGCTTAAGAAATATAACTACAAGCGGATATGTTTTACACAGGCGATACACAAGCGAGGGTGATTCGTTTATTTGGCGTCCTTCAAACATGCAATATTTATTATAATAATAGCGTTATGGTATTAAAATCCAGTTGCAACACAAAAATTCTATATAATATTTGCAGTATTTAGCTTTTCCCGGGCTAATAATGTTTTAATTTTAAAAAAAGAAAGACTGAAATCGTTTCGTGCCACAAGGAGAATTTGTGCCGGTCTGTTAATTAAATTGTGTTTAAGACATAATGTCAATCCCGCAGCAAAAGATACATACATTTGTTTAAAATACATTAGAAGACTAGCAATTTGAATGAGCTTATCGCATTTTTTATCGTTTAACTGAGAACCATTGTTTGAACACTATAATAGGCGTCGACTTTAATATTTGACTATATTGTTATAAAAGTTATTATTGTGCCAAAACAAAATTTTCAGAACCCACGTAATCAAGTTCCCTGTGGATAGAGATTTGTCAAATTAGAAATGCTATGTGATAACTGTTGAAAGGTCCATATTCATATAAACATGTGAATGAGATAAGTTTGACTCGAGCCAAGAGCGACAGAGCTAAAAGAATCGTCGGAAGCAGATGGAAAGTTCTATTATCACAGCTTGCGTTCTCCTAACAGGAGATTTTTATGCAAGAACCACCAAAACCACAATTTAAGAAACTACAGAATTTAAACTTTATTAAGCAGGATTAAACATAATGTGAATTTCAAAACACTGAACACCGAAGACAAAATAAAAAGTTAAAACTAAAACATGAAAAGCGCAATTTTGCTTTTTATTTCCCAATCGGAAAACTTGAATGTTTCTTTTTAAAGCAAGTACTACAAGTATAGTGGTTAAAATGAAAAGAAAAACAAATGAGATCACTTTCCTTTCTAACCAAGTGCACTGAGACTGCTGCTTGCTAAGTTGCACTTGATATGATCAGTTTTAACAAATGGATTTTCTAATTGCACTTCTAATTTAAATTGCTTTGAATTGCTTGAGTCACATTTGGCAAGTAGTTCACGAAGACAGTACTAGGATACTTCTAACACTGTATCCCCCCTATACTACTTTAATTCAATTCGCTTGCTTCCAGCTGAGTCACATCAGAAATGGATTGAAGGTGTAAAAGATATTATGTCAAAAAATATTTTCGGTTGCTTTATTTAGAACAGAATATAAAGCAAGCCAGAGCAGACGACCCACTGGCCGAGTTTTCATTTTTTCCGCGTCAGCGGCTGCAAGTTTCCGAAAAATTTTCATTTCAAGAGTTATCAACGAAGGAGTGTGCTCGGTTATGCCTGCAAGTTACGAAGCAACTTATCTTCAATTGTAGCTCATTTGAGTATGAGGTAACTGCAAATGATTGTTTTCTGATGGGTTCATTCTGCCTACATCACCAATTAATTTACGATGGATTGAGAGACTATTACGAATTGAAAGGTAAGTGTAAAGTGACCGGTTGCGTATTATAATCGGATTTTGAAGCTCTTGGGGATCACCTATATCAGAAACATCAAGTTATCATCAAGAGCGGACTGGGAATCACATTAAATTGCGTTTAAAAGCCACTGATCATTAGGGTGCGAGACCAGGGGTTTACTCCCTCATACAGCCACTGATAATTTCATAGAGGCCAGATCTGAAAACAGGTGTGAAAATGAATTTTTTTGGTCTGAAAAAGGGTCAGGATTTGGAGGACCGGGCGGCACATGTGTACGCACACCAAGAATTTCCAGGGGAACCCGGGGGGATGCAAGAACAAGCGCAAACGGTTCAACGCATGCAAGAACGAATTACCATGCAAGAACGAATTTGTTGAGTTGCACGTACGATATATACATAATCACGTAATCCATACTAGTCGGTCATTAAATTAAATTTGACACCAAACTTCACGAGTAGTATCAAAACTGTATTTCCGCCTATATGACTGCCCAGATCTACCTTTTTTGTCTTCGTGAAAATATTAATGTTTAAGACTGACATGAAATGCTCGATATACCAGAATTTGCAATCAATGCAAAGCTCTCAGATAGTAAGGGAGTCGCGAACAGAAGGTCTAACGAAAGTAGCACGGGAGTGATCTGGGGATAGGATTCGGTGGCAGGAAAAGAGCCTCGAAGCTCCTTTCCCAGGCCCCCGCTGGTTTTTTGCACTAGTTTTCGTGTTTCAGACGATCTTGGAGCCAGAAACAGACTATAATCAAGATTTTTGAAACCGTAAAATGTAAATATCATGTTTATGTCTCTCTTACTTTCCAGCTCCTAATGGAACAACATCTTGTAATATTCGTCCCTCTTCCTCATCACTGTTGACTACCAACTATCTCAAAAAGACAACAAAGATTCACACCACACCTGCAGTCAGCTCAGTCCTTATGACTAAACCTTTATCAGGTTTGAATTGCATTTTTTGTTTACCCTTACTAGAGGAGGGGGCATTAGGATTTACGGTATTGCGGTATTGAGCTTTTTTAATTTTCAAGCGATATTTCGGTAATTTGTATTTTAATGTGCGGTATTGAGGTACATCTAGCCCTGCGGTGTGCGGTTTTTTATCGTTTTGGGTGATGGTGTTAGTTAAAAGGAGATCCTCTACGTTAATCGGGTACCGTCCATTTGTGCTCTCCTGTATAATACTGGTCAAAACAATATACAACACAAAGCACGGTCAACTAAACAGGTTAATGAAAGTTAATTTTTTAAGTCTTTGGACACAACTGGTAAATGAGTGCTCAATTTTCTGACAGTAAATCTCCAATGAAATCGAAATCGCAACCAATGACCGAACTTTTTGATCGTTGTACCGATGAATTCGAGGTCTTCTCACGTTTGCTTCAACGGCCTAGAAAACGGGCGGATGGTGTACATAGGGTTTATCTTGGAATTTAAACTCTGAGGTTTGTCTGCTAGAGTCACGTGGCCGAGTCACTTTGGTTCTACCATGGTCGTTCTCTCCGCCCGCCCATGTGCATAAAAATGCCTGGGCAAGAAAGTAACTGATGACTTCCCTCAAATTGAACGATATCTTTATTATCCTTCTATTTTCCTTGGCATTTATTTCATCTTCAAGAACAAATCAAACGGGATCTTTATTCAGCTCTATCACAGCAAGTACAGCGAATAATTCTGCATCAGGTTTGCAAGCGGTGGTTAACATTTGTGTACCGTATTTAGTAATGTTCAACATTTAAATATGCACTTCTATGTTTTACCCAACCAACAGGGAACAATCAAACTTCACGTACAGTGAGCATAATCAGAACAAACTCCTCAGCAAAAGGTTCGTGTGAACGTATTTAAGAGTGTGCTATTTTTGTTTTGAACATTTTACGTGTTGTTTACTAAATATTTTGCTTCATGTGCAGCACCTCAACAACAGTTCCTCGTACCTCGAACGAGTTTAGTGCTCCTGAAATTCGTGTTTTAAAAATGTTCTTCCTGCTTTCAGCACAGATTATCCAGCCGACAGAAATCCTTACCAATGTATCTATTGTCGATCTACAGACAACGGTAAAAATGTCAGGTTAGTATCCTGTTTTACTCAACATCCAGCTACAAAACAATTTGAAGAAAGTTAACTGAAGTCTGTGCGGCAAGAAAATCAGCAATCATTATGTCTTACTTACTTATCATGTTTGACTGCAGCCTGAGAATCAAAGAACGGGTGCAATTTTTGTTACTACGTCACAACGAAAAAATTTGGACAAACAAATGGGCTGTTCCTGTTACTTGCTAAAATGACTTGTCTTATTGAAAATCGATATATTTACTTGTAGAAAAGAAATTCGGCTCAGCACATTCTTGAGCCCTATTATCCAACATAATCATTCTCATCTTAGCCGAGAAGAAGATATTCAGTTAATACGTTATGTGACATACTGATTTAGAACGTACCGTTCAGTTAATTTCACCTTTGACGTTTTCCGTTCATGTAATATTCCGAAAAACGATCAATAACTTCGTTCAATTTTTCAGTGTTTAAGGCAGGAGCTGATGGAAATTTAATGATTGAAAACAGAGGTAAAGAGACTGTTTTGGAAACGAAAGAGAGATAATTAGCTTCTTTTGTAATGAAAGGGACGTGGAAGTTAATTGGATTGGTTGTTTGATACCTACAACTGTACAAATATGATGCTGAGAAAATTAACTTCCAGAAACACGTTAGGTGTCGGATTCTGTAGATTTATTCTTCCTTAAACACAGAAAACCTGAGCTCGAGTTGCTTTTACGGTAAACTTGATGAAGGTTTGTTGGTGAAGAACATTATTTCTCAATTTTTTAAGTAATTTATAATAATTTATAATACTATGATATAGTTTCAGTATGCACTTTTGTTAAACAGTTTTTATTATAAATATGCTTGAAATATTGAGAACATTCCCGACATTTCAAATGTATTATAAATGTTTTGAAACTGTTAAGTTACACATAGTTCAAACCTTTTAACCATGACGAACATCAATATTCTTTTGACAGGAGGTTTTAATTAACAACAGGGTACTCGGTTGTTTCCAATCCACAATTCTATGAAAATCTGACTTTTCACACCATTTTCGTTTAATCTTGGTTTAACTTCAGTCTATACATGACAAAAATTCGACAAAATATTTAGTCTAAAATTAAAAATATTAATACTAGTTTAACGATAAAATCGGCAACAGTAATGGCCTATCGTTTGGTTTTTATCGCCGGTTACTTGGATAGAAATTATGGGCATTTTAACATCCAAAAACTGCAGAGTTCGTCGTTTTCTATTGCAAGTTTCCATTCGATCAACCAAACGTATTGTTACTCTCCCTCAGTCTACAGAAATGCCTCACTAGTAATTCTGAAACTTGCACTTTTTTTGCACTCGGATAAGATTTTTTTGTGAATCAGCACTGTCTATTTCGTTGTGCTGAAATGACTTACAAACATTTGCTTGGCCGTGAAAGGTGACTAAAATGAGAAAATTGAATTCAATGTTTCTTTGTTACCAGAGAATTTCTAGCCCACCCTCGTCCTTTTTTTCATTTTCATTAAATTTATTTTCTCGATGACAACATGAAGCGACAAAACATTAAAAATTTAACTGCAAATTAATCTTACTACCGTGATTTGGCTTTTTGTTCATATGGAACCAGGAAAGTTTATTCCACAAATTCTAGGCATTTTGTCTTCACTTAATTAATAATGCAGAATAAAGGAAAGGAAATTTATATTCAATTTATGTCTTATAAATCTCTTAATCATAACAAGAAAAGATCTGAGAATCTACAGGAAAGTATTAATTTTGGTATTATTCATCTTTTTAGTACCAGGACTCGTATTTTCCTCGACTTTTTGATCTTGATATAAAAATTATTTGGGGTTTGACTCAACATTAGAAGGATTTGCTTCCAGGATGATATTTATCTCTCTTTTTCTAAGGAAAACCTCCAAATAACTTCAACGTCACCATACTTAGCCCAACAGAACTCCACCTATCCTGGTCCCCTGGGGATATATTGAGGCAGCTTAAAGATCCATGGGGATTCAGAATTGTTTACAAGTCTGTCGACGATAATGAAACGAACAGCATCTTGGCGGGTATAAAGCACACCAGCATTAATATATCAGGACTACTGCCCAACACAAGATATATGTTTTGGATCATGGGACTGACTGGGAAAGGATTTGGTGTCCCTTCACAAGCTGTCAATATAACCACTGGTCATCAAGGTGATATATTTTTTTTAAATCTTTATCATTGGAGTTAAACAAATTGGAAAATCTAGAAGATTTTGTCGAAAACGCTCGTTGGAAAAAATGGAAAGTGACAAGCTTACCACGATTTGGCAAAGGAGAAGTAGAGGGCCTCTGCTGGAAGATCATACCACTTAAAAAATTAGGAAAATATTGATGCAATAATGTGATCGATTCTGCGCAGATTTAGAAGCCCAACTGCAAATCTCTAGCCTGTACACAGACGTTCCTTTATTTTTCTTTTCTTTGATCGGCTAGTGCGCGGGAGCGAGTGCGAAGCGCGTGAAAGTAAAAAAAGGAACGTCTGTAGACAACTTTGGGAAATAAGAGGTTTATTAAGTCCCTCCCCCATGTCAACGCCTTATCATTATCACCTCCGCCCTCGAAATACCAATTAAATTGGACCAACGATATTGGAGATATAGATTGCTTGTGTAATTGACTTAAGTATTATTTTACAACATTTTCACAAAGGATCAAATAAACAATAACTCTCGGAGTCGCGGGTGTGTTAGTACTTTTGTTAAAGCATGTTACCCTGCGGGCAGAGGTTTCTCTCTTGCATGGCTTTTAGCGTTTACCAAGTCGTTCGCATGGCTTTTCTGTCGCGTAGTTGGTTTGTTTACGCCACGTGAACAAACCAACTACGCAACTGACAAGCCACGCAAACGACTTCGTACATGCCAAAAGCCATGCAAGAGAGAAACCTCTGCTCGCAGGGTAGAAGCATGTCTTCGTCAACTCCGAAAAAGGTGGATAAAAGAGGTCCGAGGCCGTAACAAATCGGTGCATCACCACGCTTTCCATCTTCTATATTCCGATAAAAAGGATATGTTCAGCACAGGCTTGTAGTATGACTGCACCCCAAATTCACACGTCGGCGGCGCTTTCAATAGAAGCTATGTTTTATTTATGTAAATTACAATAGTAAGTGTCGCGGTAAGCGTGTCCAGGCCTTGAAAAACACTTCTACACGCATGACACGAGCGTAATGAGCCGTTCACATAATGATGACAGGATAACCGTCGTTCAGCCAATGGTAATTTGCTTTTCCTGGGAAAAGCAAGTTTCAGTTGTTTCCAAAGACGTCTACAGACTCTCCTTGCGCTAGCAGAGATTTAATCTCCCGCTGTTTTTATTTTTATCATGCGCGCTCGGCGGAATTTCAAGAGAAAATGGAGGGTCTGTGAACAGGCTAGCAAAGCTAGTAAATTGGAGCTAATTTAGTTCGACATCAGGTTTTGCTCCTTTTTCGTAGCTCATCCTAGCAACTACATTAGCTCATTAGTTTTAGGAAAATTTTGATAATTTGTTTCCTTAAGTTTGAGAAAAATGATCTTTCCTTTTTTTTTTAAAGCTCTCCCATATATACTCATAAACATTACAGTTCTACTGCTAAACAGCACCTGGAACGCTCAGTATGGAAACAGAAGAAGCCAGCATTTCAAAAATTTGTCATATATTATAGAACACAGCGTGAGTATATCAGATTCTAGACCTGATTCTCTTATGCAAAAGTATTATCTCTTTTACAGCTAAAAGGGCTTTGAAATTGACTCTGCCATCTACATGGAAAGTGACTGTAATTCACGGTCGTTGTGGTTGACTTAACCCTGTCCATTCAGCTTCAGTGGTGTTCACAGGCGGGCTGGCCGGGGGGCGGCAGCCCCCTTAGTTTCGCAAATTTTTAAATTTTTCGGCAAAACGTTCATAATTCGGACAACAGCAGTTGATATAAAACTAAAAAAAAAAGAGAAAAACGTCAGGCTAAATGGATACATGCCAAATCAAGGAGTGTGGTGTCAATCAAGTGTTAAAAGATGATGGGAAATTGTCGATTACATTCACTTACTGTTTCCCGCGGTGTCCATCCTGAGTTGGAATCTTTGAGTTCTCTTCTATTAAGGCGATTTGATAAGATTTGATTTGTGAATGTATCAGTGTTAAGATTAAATCGTGGATTGCTGAATCCGATTTCTCATTTCACTGTGCTGGTGTGCCACAAAACCCTCCACACGCTTACAAGCGTTAGTCGGGAAAAAAACAAAACATCGTGCTGCTCCTTCGCTATCGAAACCAAAGGATTATCATCGTGTCAACACCTCTTTCACCTCTCTAGATAAGATCCTGTCCGAAAATGAGAATTCATTGAAAATGAAAGGTTCTATGTACGTTGGGTGATATCACCGTTAGTTATTAATCTACCAGTGATAGCTCTGACCTCACCGCCAGGTATTATGATCTTGACAAGGATCTATGAGCTTGACAAGCAGACAAACGCCTGTTGAGCCAATTCAAGACAACACTCGAAGAGGAAACAACAAAAAACAGCTGCAGAAGTAATTAAAGTATTGCACGCTTCTTGGAAATTACCCCAGATCGAGTTCTCCAAGGTCGCATCTGGCCGTCATCCCGGCGACATCATACTTAGCGGAGCGCTCGTTTAGTCGCCTCTGGCTCTTGAAGACCTATCTTCGGAGCACTATGGGACAAAATAGCCTGGCTATCACCTGTATTGAGCGCTCCTGTGGCGATAAATCCATTGTGAACAGTATGGACAGTATATTAACATTTTTTCAGACAACGCCATGGAAATCATATTTTGTTAATATATTAAGAAGTTTCTGATTTTACTAGATCGAGTAGACTGTCGATAGTGATCATAGAGTATGCGAGGTTTCAAAATAACTACTTCTGGAATTAGAACCGTTTGACAAAGCGTGACAATTGTAAACGTTTTTCCTTTTTATACAATATAAGTGTTTTTGCATCCCGATTACAAAACTCAAGCATTCGGGCATTGTGTATTTTTTTTCGAGCACAAAGGTTACCGCCCCCCAAGTCCCCCCAAGCCCGAAGGTGCCCGTACCCCTATATGGTGGCGAAATTCTCCATTTTCGTCTCCTTCTGGACTTTTTTGATAAACAGTGCTAGCTAATGCAATAAATGCTTTAAAATGATCTTTTCTTTTCTCAGTTTAGTTCCATTCAACAAGGCACCCCTTCTTTCACAAACATGTCAAATGTGCATTTCAGGTAATGTATCCATCCATTTCTAACCGTTTATCCATTACAAATCCTCGCGTTTCTTTAATGGGCATCATATTTTTCAAGTGACCTCATTTTTCGTTTTTTTTATTTTTAGCAATCATAGCAACAGAACCGTCGCCTTCATCACTGTTATTTACAATCAAAACAGCACAGTGAATGACTTCCACAGCTTGTATGACAGGCTTTATAAATATAAAAGGCTGGAACACCTACCTCTAGAAGTTATTGATGAAAACAGTATGTGATTAATGGTTTTAATAATTCATATATGATCCTTAATGTCACAAGGGAAAAGATAGCACTAATTCGATTCCTTGATCAATTGATTAACCTATTGGCTGCAATCGTTTGAGCCGTCACACAAGTTTTATTTCGTAAAAAACTACTTTTAATTCACAAATTATTTTTAACTATTGTTTTCACGTCATGAGAAGTTGACTTGTTCCTAGCTTTGTCTTTTTTTTCCAGTTCCAGGAAAGCCACCAACGAATTTAACTGCAAAAGCATTGAGTCCATCCAGAGTAAGACTCAGCTGGACCTTCCCACATTCGAATAGTTGTGAAATATTTCCAATCCTAAATCTCCGTGTCTTCTACACTCAAGACATAGAAAATGTAACAATGACTCGCTCATCTGACGTAAACAGAACTACCAACCACATTGTTATACAGCATTTGGAGCATTTTGAATTTTACTTCATCTGGTTGCAAACACTAACCACGCATGGACTTGGACCAAAGAGTAAGGAAGTGAAAATACGGACGCTAGAAAAAGGTTAGAGCTATAAAATTGAATGTTTCATGAGCTTTCTATATTCAGGGCACTTGACTTTGGTTGTGAGCGTTCAACTGCTCGTCATTTGTTTAAAGTCTCACAAGTGCCATAGGACACCAACAGGGCAACCAAATATTAAATCTTACACCCTGGGAGCTGAATATCCCACCAATACGTTACTGCTCATCCAGTCAATGAGTTCTCCTGTTGAGGCCATATTTGCAAGATTTTTTCATGTTTTTAATATTTGCTCTTTCGGGCTGTCCGTATCATGGCTTCCTACGCAGACACTCTTTTAGCTCGTCATGCAGTCTGGAGGAAAAGGGATTTGCGCGACGAATAAAAAAACCGTCGGAAACGCCCACTTGCTTATGAATCGTTAAGCGAGAAAGTATTTCATACGTTTCATAATTAATAGTTAATGTTTAGTCGGGCTGCATCTCAATATCTGGGGTGATAACGGGATATCATACAGAGCTCACAGCCAGTTTCTTTTCCTTTCTTCACTCTGCAGTTATTTCGATTAACGTGTCATTCCAGTTCAATATGCTATGGGTTCAAGCTCTGCTGTATAACTCCAGTGACTATCACAGCGACTTACAAGAAGCAATTAAGCAAAATGTAAAGACAACTTTCTTATGTTCTTTAGACTAACTCTGTGTAGATAATTTTGCTTCTTCTTTTTTTTCTATTTAATTTAATAAATATTGATTATTCAAGTGATAATAACGGTGATGGGAGGAAAACAGGCTTTTACAAAGAAGTAAAGTAAAACCCGCTTCTAAGGACCTGGTTTTGAGAACCTGTTAGGCTAAAATTTGCCAGTTAGGCCCCCTGTATACAAAAACCTGTTTAGCCTAAAATTTGAAACAGGTTCTTATTTTCTAAATCTATGACAAAAGTTCTAAGGAATAAGCTGGATACCACGAAATACTCTAAGCTTTAATGTATTTTCCCTAGCTTCAAAAAATAAGAACCTATTTAAGAACCTAAGTAGCCTAAATTTGTTCTAATTACAGTTTATGTAAGAACCTGTTTAGGCTAACTTGGGAAAATTCAGGGTAGTCTCGGGTTTTTACTGTATGCCTGGTACGTGTTTATTAGCTTGATCGCTGTTTTACTTGAAATTTCTATTCTTATTTCATAGGTTTTCCTCCTTTATCATGAAAATAATGAGCAACTACGCCGTGTTCTTTTACATAATTTGAGGTATGGTCACAGATCCCCCCCCCCCCCCCCCCCCCCCCATTCCACGCTAAATGAGACAATTTAGACTCAAATAAACTTTTATCATTCCCCTTTGTTTCAGAAACGACAGTGGAAACATCAAGGTAGAGATTGAGATACTATTTGGCCAGGATGTAAGCATGTCTGCCTTTATTCGGTTGCATGAGGCTATGTACAGTAATGGAACTCTGGGGAACATAACAATTTATCCCATTTCAGATAACAGTAAGCGTTTGATATTCCTACTATTAAATCGTGAGGTGCCAAAATTTTACGAGAAGGAAGTCTATGAGATATTGATGCTACAGGCAGACAGTCTAACAAGGGAAGGCAGAATGGCTTGTAGTTTAACACTAGTCGATTTAAGCTTTGAACATAATTTGAAACAATCATTTTTTAATTTTCGTCCCTACGCAGTTCCTGGAAAACCACCCTCAAACTTGTCAGTTGACGTTATCAGTCCAACAACTGTTTTGGTTCGCTGGGATAATTCATCACCCACATATTACGAATCGTCATTATCAACTACAGCCGTGCGTATTTTTTATAAACTACAAGCGAACTGGACTGATATGAATGTTAGAGATGCAAATTTTACTGCAGGATATTTTGTGTTGGATAATCTAGAAACATTCTCATGGTACAATCTCTACGTAAGAGCTGTTACCTCCAGGGGACTCGGGGTGAAAAGTGAGCTTTTTGTCGTGAGAACTTTGGAGGAAGGTGAGTCATAGCGTTTGAATTGGTTAAAAAATTTGGCGGTTTCAGAGTAGCATTTCAGTTACGCACTTCTTTTTAAGGCATATTTTCTTTAATTTATATTCCACCATTTTCAGTTGTACCTGTTAACGCTACAGTTTTATTACTTGATGAACAATGGACAGACGACCTTAAAAATACAACTTCTAATACCTTCCTTATTCTGTCTGGAAAGTTAAAGAGTAAAGTAAGTATTTAGTATTAACTCTATGATCTTTTAATCACAAAACAGCGTTGTATTAGGATATCAGCATGTCACGAGCGTGGGACAATGAAAAACTCTAAGTCCCCGACAGGATTCGAATTTATGACCTCTCAAACACCAGGAGGACGCTCCATCCACTTGAGCTACGGAGAACTCTTGGGGAGCGAAGCCATATACTAGGTTGATACAGAAACTCGTAAGGGGTTGAAACGTGTAACTCTCATGTGTTTGCTTTGTCCGATGCTCGTGATTATCCATTTTCGAAAGTACCATATTTAGAACGAGAAGAAAAGATAACTGACCAATCAAATTTCGTACACGACGTGACGTAATTCTACTTCATGTTCCCGAGCCCGTTTAAAAAAATGAACAGCAAACGGGGGTAAAACTTCCGAGAGCTGAGAAAACTTTCAAATGTTGAAATCGGGAAGATTACCGAAACACTGAGCAGGAAATTGGCCTACCCCCCAGGCCAAACGCAACATTATGAAACCAACTATCGATCGCGCGACTTCTTGAAGTTGTCACTTCAAAGAACGATTCATACCTCGGTGACCCTCGGCGCCGTAAACTTAATACTGCAAATAGACTTTTAAAATTCTCATATTAAAAGTCTAGAATAAGCAGTAAAACATATTTTCGAATAAAATTCATTAGCTGCGTATCGAAAAGTGTCCAAAAACTGAACCCGAAACTGAAAAATTGTGTAAAATTTGTCGACATCGCATCTTCGCAAAAGTGATGCGTGTAATGTGAGAAGCTTGGATGCTGTAGTATCACAAACGTGTTTTGAGCTAATTTCAAGCGTGAACAAATTCAAAACAATAGACGGAGAAGCCGTTTCTTGAAAATTTTTATTCAAAATCCAAAAAGTTAATCCTTTAAAGCAATTCGCATAACACTATCTGGATCGTGGATCCGTTCACGCAAGCAAAATCGGCTGAGCACATGGCAAAATTCAACACAAAATCCATCTCAAATCGGGGCGCATTTTGTAATTTTTCTTTTGCGCCGAAGAAAAAAATGTAACTATATACATACATAAATTCCCTTTCAAAAACGTAATTTTCTTGGCCATAGGGTGCAAAATGTACCTGAAAATAGCTGCCTTGGTTGCATTTAAAACAGACCATGCGCTCCGCCGTGAAGAAAACAAGGTTGAATTCCTCGAAGGACGATTTCTTGACGAAAAGCTTCCCTTCATCCACGAAAAGAAACCCGAGCGTTCTTTTGAACTTTCTCTTTCCATTGCAAACACTAACCACGCATGGACTTGGACCAAAGAGTAAGGAAGTGAAAATACGGACGCTAGAAAAAGGTTAGAGCTATAAAATTGAATGTTTCATGAGCTTTCTATATTCAGGGCACTTGACTTTGGTTGTGAGCGTTCAACTGCTCGTCATTTGTTTAAAGTCTCACAAGTGCCATAGGACACCAACAGGGCAACCAAATATTAAATCTTACACCCTGGGAGCTGAATATCCCACCAATACGTTACTGCTCATCCAGTCAATGAGTTCTCCTGTTGAGGCCATATTTGCAAGATTTTTTCATGTTTTTAATATTTGCTCTTTCGGGCTGTCCGTATCATGGCTTCCTACGCAGACACTCTTTTAGCTCGTCATGCAGTCTGGAGGAAAAGGGATTTGCGCGACGAATAAAAAAACCGTCGGAAACGCCCACCCGAGGGCACTTGACTTTGGTTGTGAGCGTTCAACTGCTCGTCATTTGTTTAAAGTCTCACAAGTGCCATAGGAAACCCGAGCGTTCTTTTGAACTTTCTCTTTCCATTTTTTTGTCTTAACCTTGAAGTGCAGAAATCTGGTCACCACCGCATGGTGATCGCGCGGCACCAATTTTATTGAAAATGGATATCCTTCACTAGGTTTCCAAATACGGTAAAAGTGAATATTTACGAGCGATGAACGCGAGTTACACATTTCAACCCTTTATGGGTTTCTGGTTCATATTTGACACGCGTCCTGTATACTGCAAGGATCAGCAATGTCGATGTCGTACTGTGTGGTGAACCTAGTATATGGCCTCGCTCTCCATGAGTTCTCCGTAACTGAAGTGGATAGAGCGTCCGCCCGATGTTTGGGAGGTCATAGCTTTGAATCCTGTCAGGAATTCAGATTTTTTCTTTGTCCCACGCTCGTAACATGCTGATAAATTCATTTTCACATTTGTTTCACCGAGCTTAAAATTTACCATCTTTCATTCTTTCACCACAGAGTTAATGCTTTAACAGCGTTAACCTCTCTGACCAGCATTATTTTTCCTAGGTGGTAGAGCTATACATAAACAATACTCATCTACGCAAAGTTATCGTTCATCAGTTCAGGTAAAACTTCTGTATAATTAAACAAGTTCATAAGATATTTGCGTCACAGGTCGTTCGTTCATGACTTTGAACTTTTTCCGAATTTTCCAAACACTGAATCTGATATTAGATACAAAGCCATGAATGCTCACATATTTTTACGGAAGGAGCATGTGGCTAGCGAAGCCCAGGTATACGCTATAACAGCGTCTAATTTATTGTATGTGACAAGTGAAAATACTGAAACCCCAGGTGTACGGTCATTAATTCCAGGAATTACACTGGCAAAGTGATTGCAGACATGAAAATTATTTTTGGACAACAAGTGGAGATGAAACAGTTTGAAAGTCTGTATCAGGCCTTGTACAGGAATGGACTTGGGAACTTATCTGTGGAGCCAATATGGGATAATAGTAAGTCTTCCACTTAGTGATAAAATTTTGAAACTATGTCATCACGCAAACAAATCTGCCCCATCTTTTACTGTGAATATTTCATTGCTCATATCATTATAGTTGCCCAACATTAATGGGAGACATCAAAGCAGCTGTTAATAGCATTACTCACTTACACGGATTAACAAATTTTGACTTTAAAAGGGATTCAGATTCTCTGGTGTTAAGTTCCACTATGTAATAACCAATTTATCATAACATAATTAACCCCAAGTTGATAATTATCCGTAACATCACTGTTTGTTTCATTGTTTTGTTCAGTTCCCGGAAAACCTCCCACCAACATATCAGCATACGCCACAAGTACAACGAGTTTTCGAGTGCAGTGGAACGCTTTGACAAATGATTACTCTGATGTTACACATCTCAAGATTTTATTCACCTCAGTAAATCAGGAAAATGAAACTATTTGGACTACTAACGTTAACGCATCAAAAAATAGTGTAAATATTGGAAACCTGGGAAAGTTCGTTAATTATACAGTCTGGATAAAGAGTCTTTCTAAAAGGGGTCTTGGCTTTGCTGGCTTTCCTATCAATGTCAGGACGCTGGAGGAAGGTAAATCAGGGACTTAAGATTGGTAGTTAAGTTCGATTGCTTCAGTATATCAAGTGATACTTTGGTTTATAGCCTTTACGTACTTGCAAGCGTCTTCCTTATTTTTCTGATATAAAGTCGGAAAACCGTTAGCTTCCCACGCAGACGTTCTTTTGGCTCGTCACGACATCCTCCCCAAAGGAACGTTAGTGGGGAAGGAACGCGTGACGATGTCAAAGATGTCTACGTGGGAAGCTGAAAACGGTGTGGTTGAAGGGTTTTTAATAAGTTTTATATTTGATACTGAAAATTAAAAAATTTCTTTCTTTCTTTCTCTGTTTCGCTTTTTTCCGTTTTCTTCTTTTTACATGACCTCTACGTAGATTTTTAAACTTACTTCTTTTCATTTTACCTATGACTAGTTGTACCAGTCGACATAACATTTCGTCTAAGAAACATGAAATGGAATGGTAATCTTTCCGATGCAGCCAGCAGAAACTTCAAAACCTTAACAAGCACGATTCAACAGAACGTAAGGTTTATTATATGCTACAATAGTTACGTCATCTTATTTACACTAAGCTGGGTTTACTGTCCTTTAGTCAAAGAGTAGGGCCTTTTATACCTACCCCGGGGAAAGAGCGTATTATAGATGCATTTAGTGACGGAGAAGCATTCCTAAAAAAAGTGCACGCACGCCAGTGTCCATTGAGGGACAAACGCGTTGAGAAACTACCATCCTTCATTTGCAAAAAAACATCGATTTGGGGTTGGGGATTTACGACGTTTGAACAGAATTATATGATAAATGAATGAAATCGTTTCAAAAAGAAATGTGCCAACTACTTTTGTCATTGATTTTGGCTTTCAATTCCTTCTTTTCCGTGTAGGTGCTTATGTTGTATGAACAGCAATCAAACTACATTCGCTACGTTCAGTGTCGTCGGTTTAGGTAAAGTAGTGCAAACGTCCGCGATTTCTTTCCATTAGACATGGACGTGTTTTAAAAAAAACTGTAGTCTTTCATGCCCAACGGTCACCATTTCATCACCATATCATTCCGTTTTTTTTTTTTCTGAGTTTTGATTTGTTTTGTTTTGTTTTATTTTGTTTTGTTTTGTTTTGTTTTGTTTTTTTTTCTTTCACAGAGAAAAGGATGAAGCTGACCTATTGAGTTAATTGAAAAGAAATTTCCTTGTTCCGTCTGAAACGAAAAACCTTATTTGCATTGTTTAAAGGCATGAACACTTTCAGATATCAGAGGAAAACTTTATCAATTTTTTAGATATTTTGCTTTAAAAACAACTGTAACTGATTCTTTTCAGAAACGGAAGTGTGCTCGCAGACATAACAATAGTTTATGCTCAAAATGTGGGCCCTCAACAGTTTGCTGTAATTTACAAAGCCCTATACGAAGAAGGAGTACTTGGGAATTTATCAGTGCAACCAATAAGCGATAACGGTACGGAGTGTTTTCAGTAATTTCATGATATATATTGCATTATACATCCCACCCTTAATAGTCTTCCCACTTCTAATCATCATCGGAATGACAAAAACAGGACTAGCAACTGATAACTTTAAAGTAGCTTGTAGGTGTGAGTTTTTAATAACTAGGAAATAGTTAAACTTGTAATGTAAGGAGAGAATATTACCCAAACCAAAAAAGTGACCAGTTTTAACTCTAAGCTATTTTCAAAGTAAGCGCTGAATACCACAGACGAAATAAGTTATGTAGCTTCCATGCGAAGCCGTCGTTGGCTTTGACTTGCACCATTGGAACAAACAAAACCAACTAAATTACGTTTACATAGAATTTAGAATATGCGGGAAATATCGTTGACATGTAGAGGTTAATATCGGTGGATATATATATGGATACAAATTTATCTTCTTCCGTTTGCAGTCCCCGGAAAACCACCAGCGAACATCAGCGCTGATTCAGTATCATCCACGACTATCCAGGTCACGTGGTTATGTATTGACTGTCACCAGCACAACTTAACTGTTGGATTTCTTGTTTCCTATAAGCTAGATGGTAGCAGCCAAACTACAGCTGTTGTTGTGAATAGAACAGTCACACAATTACATATCATTGGCCTTAGAAAGTTCACAAAGTACACTGTTTATGTGTCTAGTGTGACAGAAAGAGGAATTAGTATGTCAAGCGAGGAGGTGTCTACGCGAACATTGGAGGATGGTATGAATGTTCAACATGATATTCAAATTAAGCTTTCGGTTACGTAGATGATGAAATTGACAACAGTTATGCACCAGTGATAACATTGTCGTCTTGTTGTGCTCTTTACAGAACTAAAACTACTAAAACGGGCAACAAAGAAAGTGCAACTTTTTTGCAATATTGCTGCAAAAAGGGGTTGAATAGTGATATTGCGCGTGATGTTGTACGTTCGAACCTGTCTTGCAACAAATAAAACTGCAAGGTTTTTTCGTCGGTGATAAATCGCGCAACAGCACTATTCAACCCGTTTTGCAGCAATATTGCAGAACAAGTTGCACGTTTTTTGATCCTGTTTTACCGTACCTTGAGAAATATAACTGAGGAAGAGAATTGCTCCTTGTTATTTCAACTTCCACTGTTCTTTGTGCTTATCAGTGGTTTTATGCTTCTATCGCACGTTTGAGCTCACCCTTAGCCTTTTTAAAACTAAAAAAAACTATTTTATGAATCGACTTTAAATCGCAAATGCTTAATGATAAGAAGTTATAAAGAATTTGAAATGACAAAATTTGCACAAATTTAAATTTTAGTTCCCAGTGCCATTCCATTAAACCTGAACGCTCACAATATGAGCTCCACAAGCCTACAGGTAGCCTGGACACCACCTCCCAAGGATCAGGTGAACGGCATTCTGTTGGGTTACAACGTTACATACAAGAAGGCAGGTGAGACTAGTGCCAGTGAGCAATATATCAGCACGACTTTGAACTTCACGGTACTCAGTTGACTTAAGAAGTTTACAGTTTATGAGGTGACGGTTTCAGCATTCACAAAGGTGGGACGTGGCCCAGCAGGGAATATAAATGCTTCCACTGATCAAGATGGTAAGAGTCAGACTAACCATGATATTTAAATTAAATAAATAATTAATTTTCCATTCCACTTATGGTGCTTTTCAGGGATAATGAAACAAATATATCATATCAAGAGAGGATAAAGGGTAACCGCTTTATCCTCTCTTGATCACATATAACATAACAAAGTTAAAATCCAAACTGGTAGCAGGCGAACCAGTTGACTGTTTTATAGGCGTGGTCGAGCTGGCGGTTATAAGGGCGGGACTTGAACTCGGAGCCTTAACGAGTGGATCGATATATGAGTTACTGAAATCGGTCTCCGAAGGTCAAGTTAGTTTTAAGTTTAGACAAGGGCTGTAGCAATACCATGTCAACAGGAAATCGTGAAATCTGCATTTTCGTTGACTAAGAAACATCATTTTCCACGTAGCCCACATGTTTTTGATCGGCCATGTGTCTGTTTATTGTCATTAATTTATAATAGGTTTTACGGTAGGGCTTAAAATTGTTAATATTTAAAATGACTGCATGAATGTTATCATTCAGCAAACTAGACAGTTCGGTAGTCCAAAAATAATTTTAATTGTTAAGTCTTTTTAATATCGTTTCTTGCGACAATGAATACGACACGTAGTGATGCCGCAACGGCTGATCAACCAATCACGACTTCTGGTTCTTACTTAATTTGTATTACGTTTATTAGTTTCGCATTATTAAAATACCGTTTAATATCAGCTTTTGTCTTGCCTGTAGTGCCAAGTCTTCCTCCGACGGATATCCGAGCATACAACACAAGCTCGACAAGTTTGACGGTGACGTGGAATCCCGTACCGCAGGGGTATACCCACGGGATTGTCGTGGGGTATTTGGTTTTCTACAAAAGACAGCAAGATGTTGACGGGAATTTCATTAATGCATCAAGCCTTGTGCTCTCTGCGGATCTTGAAGGTCTCGACAAATTTACAGTGTATGTTGTAAAAGTGTTGGCGTTCACCATAAAAGGAAATGGTGTGATTTCAAATGAAACCAGTGTAAGGACACACGAAGACGGTGGGTAAAATATAATTATTGTAAGCAAATAAAAGTATTATGTGAACCTTAGTAGAATGGGTTCGGAATTTTTTTGCTCATTTTTGACTTTGAGACACTATATAGCAAAGGTTTAATCTCAAGGCTCATAATTAACTTATCAGGCGACCCAGTCACCACTAGTTAAAGGCATACTTCATAAATCTGCCCGGAAACATACGGAATTAATATGTCGTTTATTTCTTAAAGATATACAAGGTGTCCCAAAAGTTCGTTCCTCTAATTTCATGCGCTATAACTTTTGATCAAAGCTTTATTCTTGCATGAAATTTATAAAAGATGTTTATTGCTTTATCGAGTACATGTATTCAGAATTTAAGTAACCAGCATTCCGCCTTTGTTTTTTTTATCATATTCTGTAGCCGTTGCGGCATGAAGTTTGAGACGAGCTGATTGTGTTTGGCAGACTAAGCAGAGGTTTTGTTGTCATCTCTGGGGCCTCTAACCTTTGCTTTCATGAAACTGCTCTAAACTTGGCTTGCTAACTATTGTGAGAGCTATCTCGCTGAGAAGTCTCTTTTATATCTCACCTTCTTCAAAACTATTTTAGCCGTTTTATTCAGGACTATCAGTCTTCCCCTTCCTTTTTTGTCTTCAAAACCCTCATTTCTCGATGACCATTTCACCAACCCAACATTCGGATTTTTCCAGTTTTTTAGCAGTTATTTCTACTGATAAGCCGGTAAATCGAAGTAAACATTCTTATGCTCTCATGTAGCTGAACGTTTTTTCGTTAAGAGGGTTTTTTCTTTCATGATATTCACAAAACACAAGGAAGGAGTTTGAGCAAATTGGGCTACAGAATACGAAAAATATGTGGCGGGAAAATGTACTCGCGCACGCGCACCTTTGGCGCGAAGTACACAAATCGAATCAGTAGAGTCACAAGATGGCACACCAAGTATAAAATATTAATTAAAATTATATTATGAAACACAAGTTTTGTTTAAGCGATTTGCTTACCATGTCTAATCGGACTACATTACAGTCTTAGAAAGTAGAGGAACGAACTTTTGGGACACCCTGTACAGAGAGTAGGTAGTTACTATTTTTGTAAGTTCCTCACCTAACTGCGTGGAAGGCACCTCAAAAGAAAACCATTTCCCTTTAAAAGAATGTTTGGGTGTTTACTTGAGCTTTAGTTTGTTTTTTAGCACATCTTTATTTTCATTTTAGTACCAAGTCTCCCACCGTCAAACCTCAGGGCACACAATACCAGTTCAACCAGCCTACGGGTCACGTGGCTGCCTGTACCTCAAGAGTTTCTCCATGGAATTCTTGTCGGATATCGTCTCTTTTTTAAGGCAGAACAAAGCCTGGTTTATGAAAACTTGACAGTAGTTAATCGAACTCTGGAATTAACAGGACTGGAAAAGTTCACAAACTATTCTGTGAAGGTTTTGGCGTTCACTCGTATTGGAGATGGAAATGTATCACATTCAGTGACTGTGTCGACTGATCAGGATGGTTCGTGAAATACTATTTTTCCTAATTCGTTTAATTTAACAGGTTAGCTGACAAGCACAGCGGTTTTTTCTCGCGGCTCCATCTGTCGGTATCGCCTTCTCCGGGAATTTTCCTTCATAATGCGCCATGGAAATTCGCAAACAATTTATCGGGACACTAAGTTTTGGTCCGTTTATTTACTGAAGTTACGTTAACTTTTGTACTAATGAAAGAAACCGTCCTGGAATCGGGTAAAGAGGCCTTAAAACCTGTGAGAGTTGAGGGACTGAAAAAGAAACAGTTTATTATTTGTAGAACTAATTCCAAGGACAATAGCTAGGGACACTCTAAACTATTCAAAATGAATAACTCATTGACAGAAGCTCTTGTTGTATTTAGGTCACTGAGAGAAGTTCCATTCCTTTTCTTTCTGAATACTTACCTGAGATGTGTACAATTTAATCAATATTTTTATTTACAGTTCCCAGCCTCCCACCAACGGATGTGAGCGCACATAACACAAGTTCCACCAGTCTTCATGTAACCTGGCATGAAGTGCCCAAAGGCTTTGTTCACGGCATCCTGCTTGGTTATCGCGTTCTTTACAAAATAGCAAATGTAACTGGGAACAAAAGTATTACTACAACGTCAGAAACAACTAATAAAAGAGAGTTGCAAGAACTAAAGAAATTCACCATGTATGAGATCAATGTACTGGCGTTTACAGCCATTGGGGATGGAGCAAATTCCAAGAGCATACATGTCTCGACTGATGAGGACGGTAAGAGGTTAATTTGATTACTTTGATGGCGATGATGATGGCGATGATGATGATGATGATGATTATTATTATGATGATGATTATTATTATTATTATTATTATTATTATTATTATTATTATTATTATTATATGAGAATCTTTATAATCATTCTTCGGAGTGATTAAAGTACTGTAAATAGAAGCAGGGTTCGCTGACAGTACTCACTGCACATGATCTCTCTGAGAGGTAAATATCCGATAAACAATTCCATCGCAAACAATTGACATCTAATTGTTTCATTATAGCAGAAAACTTGCTAAGTCATTAACGATAAAAGTATGGTGTATTTTGATTGTAACAACGGTCGGAGATATAATGCCCATAAGTAAACAACAGTGACGCGAATTTTAACACACATACATGTAAGCAGCTTTTTGCCCCTTTAAAAACGCGTACCCTTACGGTTTTATACCTCTTTCTACCTCAAAAAAACAAAGGATCCTTTACACCAAGACAACAAACTGAACGTATACTTTCAATAAATTAATTGTAGTTCCCAGTCTACCTCCGGTTGACTTGTCTGCACATAATACCAGTTCTACGAGTATCCGAGTGACCTGGGGCGAGGTACCTGAAGGATACGTTCATGGAATTCTACAAGGTTACCGCGTGTTTTACAGTGAGATGACCGCAAACAGGAACATCAGCTACTTGAAAGTAACAACTGACCCAGAAAATCGCCAGCTTCGGATCACAGGACTGAAAAAGTTTACCAAATATTCACTGAAGGTTTTAGCTTTCACAAGAAAAGGTGACGGAGCTGTTTCTACCGATATCTCGGTCGTCACAGACGAAGACGGTAACTATTATTCCATTGTAGTTAATAGAATGACGCCTCAGGGCAGCGCATTGAGGATTTACGGACGGGTGTGAATTGTTGAACACAACTATTATGATTTAATGTTCAAGCTATAAACTCAAAGCATATGAAAATATATAAATTGTTATTTGTTTACACAGGTAAATTAATTTTAGGAAAATTTAAACAGAACTATCTTAGAAAGAGATCAATAATTTCTGATGGTGAAGAGATGCAGTCCATACCCATGCAGCCTGCGGAAACAAAACAAATCAAAATTGATACACTAAAGTTACCATCGCCTTTTTTAGCATTCCTTATCTATGGCAGAATAAAAGAAATTTCCTTAAATGAATCCCTTTAATTTCTCTCTGTGTTGTGATTTTGCGTACTGTTTTCGTTTTTTAGTGGTTTTTTAAATCTCTTAGTTCCCAGTTTACCTCCCCAAAACGTCCAGTCTTACAACACGAGCTCTACCAGTGTGAATGTAACCTGGGAAGATGTCGCAATTGGTTTTATCCATGGGATTCTCAAAGGCTATCGAGTATTCTATAGCAGAACCAAAGACAATGGTGCCGCATTAAGACAGGCTGTCATTCGTGCTGATAAGCACTATGTTCATCTGGAAGGACTGGCTAAATTCACAAATTATACAATACAAGCGGCTGCTTTCACAAGGATTGGATATGGCGCCAAGTCAACAAAATTGATAGTCTCTACAGACGAGGATGGTATTAAGTTTCATTTATTACTTACTATGCTCAAGTAGTTTGAAAGATAAATTTATTTTAGCAAAATACAAAAGGCTTACAATAGCAGAGGAACGCTCAGCAATGCAAGTGAAACACTTTTATTTGTATTTAGGCAGGACTTTAGGGTGCTTATATTTAAACAATCCGTCAGCTTATTCTAAAAGTAAAGTTAGAACAGGTTTTTAAAGACCCATGTCAACTATAACCACCTTTCCCACTTCTTTGTTTGTTTTTTCGTGTGTTTTCGTTTATTGGGTTTTTCCCTTTAAACAGTTCACTTGCAAACTATTTACATAAGGGTTTAACACACGAAAAAAGTAATAAAAATCGTGAAACTATACAGCTATGAAGGTCGATACTGTTTGCTACTATGACACGAACAAGGTAAAAAGTAAAGAGGGGTCATCTGACAAATTTAAATGCAGATCATGAAACTTTAAAAAGTTTTACCTCACTCATGAGACCGAATAGGATTGGCTGACTTTCTTTCTGTCTCTGTTTTGCTTGACTTTGTAGTTCCCAGTCTTCCTCCTCAAAACCTCTGGGCTAACAACATCAGTTCAACAGCATTAATAACCAAGTGGAATCCAGTTCCTCTGGGATTCGTACACGGCAGACTACGGGGTTATAGGGTGCTTTACAAGGAGAAAAACAACCCATCTGCTCAATACACTATAATCACCGTTCCACCCGATATCAGGATGCAAATAATGAGCAATCTTAAGAAGTTTACTTACTACACCATACGGGTACTTGCGTTTACTATAAAAGGTGATGGTGCTCTGTCACCACCGCTGAATGTGACAACAGATGAAGATAGTAAGTATAAGAGTGACCTTACCCCGCAAAATCAGTCCCTTTTTTCGATTTAACCAAATTTACCGTAAAATCCTCCATTGATAAGCCCTGGGAGCGGGGGGGTGCTTATTTATTTAAAACACATTTGACGGGGAGCGTATTTGAGAGGGGGCATAATAGAGGATTTACGGAAAGAGCGTCGCGTGTAGAAGCTTTTATTTAAAAAGTCACACCAGTTTTATGAGTAAATTTTAAAGCACACAAACTGTATACGAGAAGAGCAGGTGAAATTCATGACCTGTCGTTACGAACGTGGGGCAAGCGAATAAAGAATTTAACACAATTCAGTTTCCCTGAAGAAAATGAAACCCTCACATCAGAACTCCAAATGGACTATTCATCCATTTGTCAATAATGGAAAGACCTCAAAACCAAGGAGAGTATTAAAAAGGAATTCATCATCTAGGTTCAAATGGAACCGGGTGTCAGAACCGGAAGTTTTTCTTCGTTACACGCTTGTTTCCTTTCCAAGAAGTTTAAAATTTATCATCTTAAAAGATTTGTCACACGGAATGTTCATAAGAATTTCAGAGTGAAAAGGTTTGAAGGGTTTGGGTGCTGCTAAAACATTGATTGAATAATTGTTTTCCAGTTCCGAGTGAGCAACCACAAAACGTTTACCCCAGAGACAAAGCTAGCGCTACAGAAATCTATCTGTCATGGGCTCCACCCCCTCCAGACAAAATCCACGGTATTCTAAGAGGTTACTTCATTTGGTACAGCATCATAACACTTGGAATCGACAGAAGAGATCCAGTCTTTCCCCTAGACTATACCAAGAAACGATTGTCATCTGATTCAGTTAAAGACACACTGATTAATCTGCAAACATATGCACGATACGACATCAAAATAGCTGCCTTTACAAGTAAAGGGCATGGCCCTATTAAAGAGATCTCCACAAGTAAGTTTTATTTCGTATTCAAGAGAAGGTTGATAATTTTACGAAGAGAATAAAATTTAGATTTTAAATTGCCACCCTGTGCGGCGCAAACATTTGCTAAGAATAGGGAAATGCATTAAATACGTTCCATCTATTTTGAAGAACTTGGGTGTTGTCTTTGAACTAAAGTGACGTCCACATCAACACAGTCGTCCCTATCCAAGAGAACCTCAGTACAAAAATCCGCGAAATTTTTGTCTGAAAAACGGCGGATTTACAAGCATGTCTCCAGTCAGAAGGAATTAAGTTTCTCAACTGCTTATAAATTGGGCCAGTTCTTACTCAAAACAGACAGTTATGTTATTTAGGGATTAAAGAAACGTTATCTAAAAAAAACGTTAAACGTCACCTTACAAGTTAAACCAGGTACGTGCATGGTGCTGACAACACTAAACTTGATAAGCGTAACAGTGACAAAAATATCGCAGTTTATATTCTGTAAACGTCTTTCATTTTACTTTCAACAATTTGATACCATTTCTAAACCATTTTTTCTGCACATAACGGCCAATTCCTTCTAAGTGCTTGTCCTTACCATATCTGTTTCCTCAGGGACTTGCAGATGTCGGTCTATGATACCAACTAACTGGTGGAATAATCCCCCGTACGTTACGACCCAAATCTCCAGCAACAGTAGCCGTGAAGGTGGCATACTACCAGTTATACTAGAGAGTATTGTCACTTCCTGCTGTCAAGAGTGCGAGTTTGGCACGGCAACGGTGGACTTCAAATTGGACGCAAATGGGTTAGATGCCCAGAAAGATGGCGTAATTCAGGTTAAAGACGCTATAAGTAGCAAGACTATGATCTCTTTTGGTATTACTGGAGTGATGCCCCAGGAAAAGTACTATAGCGCTGACGGAGAAGCAGAGTATGTTCCCATCATGGAGACACCTGGTGTCGCCTTCATTGTGGCGGAGAGAAGGTTAGATTACCGCAGCTGATCTCTCTTAAACTACCGTAGATGGAGAGTATTATTAAGCAATAGACCACACTTTCTATGGGTTTACCGGCATGATAACCCACGCGGGATGTTGGGAGAACACGAGAAAAGAAGCTTTTCGAGTATTCTCCCAACATCCCAAGTGGGTTATCATGCCGGTAACCCATAAAGAAAGTGTGGTCTAATTTGCTTTTATAAAATAACTTTAAGTTTTTTATGAGTTTAGAACCAATCAGAACGCGGGTACTATCTTAGTTATTTTATAATAAACAATATCCTTTACTGAAAAATACCTCGAGTGGAAAGCAAAAGCCAAAATCTATTTGAAACCAAAAGATCAAATAACATTAAGGAACCTTGTTTCAAGAGACGTCGTCTCTCCTGTTGCCTGGTAGCATCCCTTGTTACCTTTTGGTTCTTTTGGCTACACACGAGTAGGTTAAAAAGGTATCAAGAAAAAAAAATTCCATGCTGCTATGCTTACCATGTCAGTCCCTCGTTTAACCAGGTACTTTGATTTAGGCGTAAGTAACGAGATTCATAATTAATTTAGTGAAGATTAAGGTGATACCCTTCCCCATTCCCCTAGTCAAAGTTGCAAGCTTTGTAAGGCCTTGGTCAAAACTGCCTTTAGGATGGACGGTAGTCAGATATTGAGAGTTACCAATGTATTGCCAGCAGCGATTTTAAGTAAGAGAGGGTGTGGTGGTTTTCCGTTCGAGTGTCTCAACATTATTGTAGCATATAACCTTGCTGATTATCGCACGCATTTGAAATATTTCCCATTTCTTCCAGAGATATTCATAAGGAGGTTCTCATGGCGATTCTGAGCTGCTGGCCAGCAGTTGTTATTGCCTGTATCATGACGTATCTCGCTGGTGTTGTGGTCTGGGTTCTGGTAAGTTATTTCTTACTTAACTATGTCACTCACAAACATTTTAAAAGATAAATCGAATTAACGAAACTGTTTAAACTAACGTTGTGCTGCATTTTTACAAAGGATATGAATTGGAATCATGTGGACTTCCCAAAATCGTTCATTTCGGGATCGCTTGAGGGAGTATGGTGGTCGTTCGTTACCATGACGACAGTTGGGTAGGTAGTCAAGCGTATAGCCGTAACCGCCTGTTAAAGCAACTAAACTTAAATCACTATTTTTGTTAGTACAAATTTAAGAACTTTAGAAAAAACTTACGTTCGCGGTAGGGTTAAATTTGTTGTAGAAAGCTGGTCTAAAGAGTAGATGGTAGCGGGTTCTATCCGAGAGTCTGGACCACGACTCTAACGAAGGTGCTGACGGCTACATTTCGCGAGATTGGTATGACTTGGTAAAAATGGTGGTTTCTTCTTCAACTGATTAGGTAAAAAACGATGTCTTCAGTTTAGGACTCTTTTTTTGGCAGTTATGGTGATCGTATACCTAAGTCCATTCCCGCGCGCCTATTTGCGTTTCTATGGACGTGGATCGGTATCGCTACAATGGCAGTGATCACAAGCAGCATTACAGCTTCTCTCATGAGTATGGTGTTTCAGCCAGAAAAGATGCTCTATGGCACAAAGGTGAGGACATCATGTACCAGCTAGGAACTGTGCTGTGTAATCCGATAGCTTGTTAAGAACGCTAAAATCGGAAGAGAAGTTGGGTACGATGGTAGATTTTATATTTCAAACCATGCAGGTTTCAAGAGCCCAGGACGCAGTGTCTGAAGGTCGATTAGCGTTAAATTCTAAACCGGGTTCCTTTTTCTATCTGTTCAAAGCATTTTCTCGGATAATTTTCTCTCCTTATTTAGGACATTGAATCAGTGAATTATACACTGGCACAAAAAGCTTTTAAGCTTTCATATCTGAGTTCAAACTTCGCACTAGCCCCGGGTTATCTTAACCCAGGCCCGGGACCTAAAAGTGGAAATGGTACGAAAAACAAACAGAAAAATAATAATGATCTAATTTATCTCTTTTATCAAGGCTAAAGAAGTAATAAATACCTATTCTATAATGCACAACTTTATGAAAGTAAATCTGGGCGAAAACTGGGCGTTCAATGTCGCGGGAAACAGTGCAATATCATTCTCGGACGTCATAGATTTTGCCCATTAAGGGGCTTTTGGCCGAAATTGGTTTTAGTTACTGACAGATGTGATTTGAGCTTAAGGCAAGCAATGTGAGCGCGCGCTGTTTTAAAAGATTTCAAGTTATATAAAAAATTTACATCATGTCACTTCCGTTAATGTTAGTACAAGCCGCTGGAACTGTTTTTCTCATTTATTCACTCTTAATATTTGATTATTTCAGGTAGCTGCTATTGCTAACTCAACTGAATATAAACTAGGACTCAGAAGAAACGCCAAACTAGACACAGGTTAGGAGAAAGGTGAAAGGTGGTAATATTTGTTACCAAGAGATGAAGTTGATGAGGCTACAGTAGTTTATCAGTAGCCTCTAGTCATTGTTGTCAATTTTAGTTTCTTTAGGCCTCTTGTCACTTTTAGTTGTTATTATTTCCTGTAAAAGTGACCCGCCCAGATTAGCATAAGTACCCGCGTGCATGTTACAATTGTACTCCTATCTTAAAACAAAAATAAATGTATGATCATGATCATGAACCCTTAAAACTGATTAGAATTCACCACAGAAAAAATTGGTGGAAAGTTTATTTCTTTACAGCAATATTCACGTCTCATCAAAACATAAGGATAGTTTAATCAGGTGAAAATTGGAGATAAATCAGCTTGCTTGACATAATACCAGTAGTACGTTAGATGTTTATACTTTGAGTAGCAGTCATAAACCTGTCCCTAAGGAATCTAATCTTAATGAATGAAAAATTGATTGATTTTCAGGTCGCTCGTACGGGAACTTGTACCAGATTTATGAAGACCTCGAAAATGATCGTGTACACGCAGCGCTGTTGGACTCATACTCGACGGCGAGCGAAAGCAAGTGGTTCAGTGAAGACTGGCTCAGAGTGATTCAGATCATTCCAGTGAGATATGAATCTGCTAATGGACTTGTACTTACTGGTGACGTCATGAAGTTAGCACAGTGTTTTCGAAGTTATGTGCGATCAGAGACAAGTTATATACACAGAATTATACAGAGTCACGTGGGGTCTATTGAGGTTAGAAATTCAGTTCGAATTCTATTCTATTCTAGTCATTTCAGAAACACAAATACCTTTGGCTATGTTAAACAGGTACGTTTCACTGGCATAGGTGTAGCCAGGATTTTTCCAGAGGTACGCCTAATTTTCTTACAAATTATTGGGGGTTTTGTACCGCTGTTTGCGACATTGTCTTTGACTGACACAAGCACCCTTAGTTAACGTAGTCTTAACCCCTGCCATTAACTTCGTCAACTGTAAAAACAGGCCCAGGTGAAAACAACGGGCGCAATTTTCCCTCCTTTTATCTAACTATTTCATTCAAAGTTCAGTCCACCAATGAGTCAAATCGCTTCGCTGGTCGCTGGAAACCGACATTTGGGTGTAGAAAAAAAAAAGCAGAGTGAAATGAATAATTGAGTCAAACTGTGCTTTATGAAATGACTATGTTATATTTATGCACTTAATTGTCAACATCTTTTCTATTTGTTCCATCTTTTACCCTCGACTTTTTTAGGTACGCATGTGCATACCGTGCGTAGAGGTAGCTATGCCCCTGACAGGTAGTGTTGAAAACATTACAGGTTATTTTACCGCGTAGCTGTTATCCTTGACTTTTTCATAGTTTACTATGATTAAGTACGCTTTCTCTTTAGGAAACGTGATTTAACACATCAGCTCGGTCGGTAGACAGTAAATAAGCGACAGTCTCTTTCATCACCCAGTTTCGCGTCATTTTTTCCCATTCTCTAATAACCCTAACTTTTGTAAGTTCCCTGAAAGTTTTTTTTTTTTTATTTGTTTATTGCGAACAATAGACCTTTTTACCGATACGGCGGCCATATTGAATTAATTCGATAGTAAGGAGTATTATAGGATGTCCAGGGGGCATGAGCACATTTCGTTTGTATTTTCCCATTTTTTCTTAAAGTTTTCTAATGGGCAAAAAAACCAGTGTTTTGATGTAATAATCGCCTTTTTTTACAGTGAAAGTCCATATTTCTAATACTAAACTAGAAAAAAGGCGAATTACATCAAAACACGGAGCAAGGATTTTTTTTTACAATCTTATTTAAGAAAATTTACGAAAAAATGTTTATTTCATTCCCTGGGAATAATTGGCCGCCGTATCGGTAAAAAGGTCTATTACAATACACTACATTTACAGTTCATTACAATAAAATTCTAATTATTGATTACTAAATTTTACCTTACATTGAAATAGGTAACTGTTATCGTTTACAGAAGGGAAAAAAGTGAAAGAAAAAGAGAGAGAAAGACAATTCTTCAAAAATACTATAGTTTATATATTAACAATTAAGAGAAGGAAGTTCCCTGAAAGTTAACTATAACAAAAAAAAAACTGTTTCGGATTAATTTTAGCTGAGGGTTCAGATTCTCTCAAGTGACTTGTAACACGTTGTCATGCCTTATATCACGCTGCGATGTCTTTGTCTTTAGGCTGAAGATGTTCCTTTTGCAGTGAAAACGTCGTCAGATCTTCTAACGGAAGAATCCTATTTGTACAAACAAACAGTGATTATTCTAGCTGGAGCTTTAGGTACCTTTACACTTCTGGGGCTTCTCTTTCATTATTGCTTTTATAAAAAAGCCCCATCAAGACATACATCAGAATCAGGTACTAAGATTTTATGCAAATAATATACACTAAAATGAGAAATAGCCTTTAGTAATACATGAATAGAAGGATGAAAATAATGGCGTTGATGATAACGGTGCCAGTGGTGGTGGAGGTCTCGGCTACGATGGTGTGATGATCGTGACGATGATGATGATGATGATGATGACAACGTTAAAAGTAATGGTACAGATGATGATGACGATGATTGTTTTAGTGTTACCCATGGTGATAATGGTATATGTGAGGGTAATGTAAACTAAGGCTTGAAAAACCACTGCAAAAACCGTGAACGATCAATGTAGCTCAAATTTGGATCAAACAAGATCGTGATCAGTCGAAAAAGATAAAAATAGAATTAAGGTCAAAAGGCCTACTGCAAAGACTGAGCAAACAACGTGGAAAAGGCTGCAGTATACAATATTTCGACTAGCCATTACCAGTCTTCATCAGCTTCATTAGGAAAAACCACGAATACATAGAATATATACTACTGTAAATTAATAGCGGAAGTTACATGGTATGACGTGGTAAGGTGTGGCTGCTAAGAAAAATAAACCGAAAAATATATGAAGATTACATAATGATTATAGCTCGTCACATTTGTTCATTTTCAGAGGCTCGATGGTTTTGGCTTTATGAATGAGGTGCGCCTCACGTGCTTTCCTAAGACAATCGCGTTCATATCTAAGTGTTTCAATTGGGATAAGTGACATATGGGAAACAGAGTGGCTATTACTGAGAAAGTGTTCTGAACTTCGGTTTGGATGTAACTACCGGAGGGGTTAAGTTTAGGGCGGCTATGTTCATTAAAACGGTCCTTGAGGTGGGGTTTGGTTTCCCCAATATATATATTAGAGGCGGCATTGAATCATGTAGATAGTATTAAAAGTATTACAAGTAATGTGAGATTTGATTTTGTCATATGTAGTGATAAGGGGTGGTGGTGTTGACAACGTTCAAGAAAATGAAAATAGCGTTGGCTATGTTAATAGCGGTGGCGATGGTTGTGATTTTGGCCATGATAATGGTGGTGGTGAGGAAGAATGATAGTTATTATCATGATGACGATGATAATAGTGGTGATGATGATAATGATGATGGCCAGTTAAGCGATGGTGGCGACCCGGTAATGGTATAAGTGATGCTGATGATGATGAGAAGGACGAGGATCATGAGGATGGTGATGATGAGGATGATGATGAGTCTTACAGTTTTGTTCTGAATTCTTATCTCAGCAGAGGACATCGTGGTTGTAAAGACAAACGGCTCTCAAATAAAACGAACTGAGACGATATCACAACTAAAGGAGGATATTTCTGAATTTTACGAATGTTTTAAGAAAAATTATTTGGCTTTACGCCACAAGCACATAAAGGAACATAAAGAGCTTAGAAAAGTGACCGATGACAAATATGGAACAGGCAAGCGGCAATTTATGTTTCGTTATTTTAACGTCAGTCTGTTAGATATTATGTTCGATTATAGTGTATTTAAAATATATAGTGTATTTATAATATTTATATAGACAGTCTTAACGGTATGTATATAACTGGAAATAGTTTAGTTCGGTTTAATTGTGTATAGGTTAATTTAATCAAAAAGCAAAACAAAAGTAAGTGGTTTGGAATTGCGCTAGACATCAGAAAACGTTCCGGCGGGTCTAAAATACAGGTCACTTTTCAACAGGTCAGAGTACAGGTCACTATGATACAGATAAACGAACAGTGTCTCCTAGCCCTAATATCTTAAGATGCTCTCTTAGATCGAGGGAAATCTGTGTGGTTTGGTAATTCTAGTCGATAGAGCAGTGAACCTGTACTCTTGACCTGTGGAATGTGGCCTGTACTTTAAACCGGGCCGGAAACGTTCTGAATTCAATTTTAGTTACATTTATGAATTTTTTAAAAAAGCCAGGTGTATTTCCTAAGAAAGGAGAGTTGTTTCACGACATCTCTTTAAACTGATTACAGTGTTAAAATGTACAAAGGATGGCTACCTGTTTAGCAAAAAGGTTTGAACTTAGTTTGAAGTTCATAAATTTCATATTAAATATATACAGTCGACTCTCTCTTAGCGGACACCCCTATAAGACGGGCACCTCTGTAAAACGGACACGAAGAGTTGTTCCCTGCCTTTCTTTACTCCTTTTACATGACTCTTTATAAGACGGACATCTCTCTTAGACGGACACTTAGCACCGGTCCCAAAGAAGTCCGTCTTAGAAAGAGTTGACTGTATTTATATTTTTTATACACTTTCTTTTCACTAGGAACCAATGTAATCAAGAGCCTACCGGAATTTACTGCAAGTAAGTTGACTGTGCAACTGGCATGAGCTTCTTGGTATCGGACCACGTTCATCTTTTTCGCACCTTACCGTTAGTTAAGTAACTTGTCCTTAGTGACTTAAAAAGTCACAGGCCCAGTACTATTACACAAGAAGCCCTTTCACTCAATTCTCTGTAGAACCAATATTGAACAAAAAAATTCCTATCGTAAAATTTTTAAGACTCTATTAACCCTGATATTGCCCATTTTAATTCTCCAGCTTCTATTGAAAACAAAACTCTGCTAAATAAATAACATCTAACTGCTACCTTTTTCATGTAGGTCGCAGGGGGCAGTACCAGGTGACTAAAGATGCTGATGTCAACTCAATATTTGAAGGAATGGACCTGAGCATGTTCGACAAAAGGAACAGCAAACGATGGCGCTTCTAGAAAGCCTCTGGGCCTAAAACTGAGTGTTGTCAGCAAATCGGCCGAAAAACATGAAATCAAGAAATTTTTATAGATATTTATACAAAATCAGAACACTTTCTCAGCTTTAAAACGCAAAAAAACAAAATGGCTTAAAGACTTTTGCATGTTACCCGTCACCGTGACGAATAAACGAGATGCAAAATTAACTTTCTGTTTACGATCCTAAACTTCAAAATCAAAGTCAAAGATTAGCAGCGTCAATCTGATGATCAGTAACTCATTGATGAGGGTTTGTCGCTAGAATTGAGTGTCACGAAAGTGAATAATTGACGTTTGTACTAAAAGGACAAGTTTAATCAGGGACTGAATGGGTTTGACAGAGCCGACATCTTTTACATGAAGGCCGAAGTAGCATCAGAATCGTCAATGTTCGTTTTTTTTTTTTTTTTTAATAAATCTTACGCGAGTGTAATATAAACTTTGTGGTACTAGTATAAGAATGGCCATGACTGGGGTTTATAACGCGCGCCTTACCGGTATTACAAACACCAGCTCCCTCAGTCAGTTTTCATCCCGCGCGGGCATCAGCTAGCCGATATATGGTCTACGCAGCGAAAAATGTCCTTGCATGATTACCTAGAGCCGGCCGGGTTCTTGTTCAGCAACGGAAATTAAAACCAGAATCAAAGACATGTGCAAGATTATATCCTCAAACATGAATTAGATGTCTTAAAAGAGCTATGTGACGAGGATGATACTACTGCTATAGGTCAATTCTGTACCTTGTAGTCATTATTTAAAACTAGGAAAATTCCCGGGGGTCTTCCGTGTGAAAAGTACGGGGATGCTGTTCGGAAAAAAAAGAGTTACACAGGCAGTGTTAAATGTAATGATGTTGTTAAATGTAACACAAAATGACCAAAAATGTTATAACGCAGTGGCGGATCCACGGGAGGGGCCCGGAGGGCCCGCCTTCCCTCCTTATTTTTATACCAAAATGAGGGCCAAAAGGGCCGAAAAATTTTTGCAGACCGCCCCCCTTATCTCAGAGTCTGGATGACCTCCCCCATCTGAAGGTCTGGAAGCCCACAAATGTAATACAAATTGACCAGAAATGTGATAAATTACAAAAATTGGGCAAAAAAATAACAAAACCAAAAAAGATTTTGAAAATGATTTGATCAAAAAGTTAAACGCTAAAAGATTTTTAAAATACATTTAAAAAACAAGAACTACGTTTCGGCGCTACGTTACGCCATTATCAAGTTGAAAAGTGAAAACGTATAAGGTGTAAAACGAATATATAAAATTTGAAACAATACATAAATATTTGCGGGTCCAATGGGTATAATTTCCAAGGTGAGAAACACAATAAGAGAAAAACAAATGTACGAAAGTGTCACGTAAATAGTTTGGCGCGAATAGAGTCGGCTCGCGTGTTAAGAGAAGGCTTGATGTCCTTTATGTATAACATCTCGTAGACTTAGTAATCAAACTTGTCATTGAAATAAGAAAGATCGTCAACGATCGTCAACACAGTATGTTTATTTCAATGTGATTTGTGCGATGCAAATTATGTCGGGTACACTACCAGACACTTACACCAACGCATAAGTGAACACCGTTATTCAGCCATCGGGAAACACCTTGAAACACAGCATGGCAACAACAGAACAAAGACTGCATGACCATCTTTTCAAATTTCTGAGGAAATGTAACAGCAAGTTTGATTGCGATCAAGCCTTCTCTTAACACGCAAGCCGACTCCATTCGCGCCAAACTATTTACGTGACACTTTAGTACATTTTTTTTGTTCGTTTGTTTTTATTTCTCTTATTATGTTTCTTACCTTGGGAATTATACTCATTGGACCCGCAAATATTTTATGTATTGTTTCAAATTTTTTATATTCGTTTTACACCTTATACTTTTTCACTTTTCAACTTGACAATGGTGTAACGTAGCGCTGAAACGTCGTTCACTTTTTTTAATGTTTTTTAAATGTATTTTAAGAATCTCTTAGCGTTTAATTTTTTGATCAAAACCAAACAAAACCCTACAATGTTACCAATGAATCAATAAATATCTTTTATGTGTAACTGGAAAACTAGGTCAGATTAACGAATTCACGCAACTTAACGACTTCTAAAGATTTAAAGAAAGTAGTCCGTTGCCTTTACACGAATACTTACTAGGTTTTCGTCTGCAATATAGCTGAAAGAGCCCGTATTGAAAGAAGTCCAGAAAAAAAAATTAACTAGATAACAGAAAAGAGCAAGATTAGAACCAAGCGGATGGCCCATGAGGGATTTACAATATTTTCACTCCAATTTTGATGTCTACCGTGTTAGAAGAGTATCACTTAGAAAATTTAATTAGATCAAACTAACACTGTGGAACTGGATTTTTTGGTAAAAAATTGTTGGTACCACAATGTAGACTGCTTATTTCGAACCTTCACATTCTTTTAAAGGATTCCGGTCCAAGACCCTGAAAACCATGCCCTACTCAGCGGCACATTGGGGTCACTCCCTTATTTGGCCTTGAAGGTACCCGGGAAACACCTACAGAGCAAAGAATTCCCAATGCAATACGTTTACAATCTACAGCTCGAAAGAAAAAAAAAACATTAGCTGAAAACTCAAAATGAAACATTAAAAACCAAAATATCAAAATAAAAGAAAACAAGTCAAGAATCAAACTGAAGTGAATTTTATAAGTGATACTCCTCGAACACGGTAGACATCAAATCATTTTATTTTTGGTTTATTTTCTTTTCTTGATTTCAGCAGTGGCTTCGTTGCAGCTTCATTTCAGACAAAAAGGCTGATAAGTATTCGTATATAAAAGAAGTCGTTAAGTAGCGCGAATTCGTCAATCTGATTCCAGTTACAGATGAAACTGATATTTATTGATTCAATGATGATTTGTTTTTACGTTTTTTTTGGCTTTGTAACTTTTTCGCCTACGTTTTGTAATTAAGGGTGTTCCGCCCTCAATTTTTTTCAGTAGAATCGATAGGAGTGATGCTTTAGTTCAATACAGCCGCGTTACGGAAATTATTCGACATTAGATTCTCATACAAACACTGTAATTTCTCACGTGGCGGGTCACTCGCTTTTTCACAGTGCAAGAGCCTAGTTGACGTGTCATTTCCGCCCTGTCACCTGTCGTATAAGTGCTAATTGTCATAATGCAAATTAGTTGGTAGGCGCAACAGTGGTCACAGGCACTGGACGAAAGCCAGACGTGCCTCGAAGTCCGGCACAAATGGCTCGATTTAATGGGGAAATTATGGATCTTTTTTCGAGCCGATCTCCCAGAGAGGAAGAAGAGGTTTCCCTCTTAGGCCGGAGCTGAAAAATTTGCAGCGGATTTGAATTTCGGCGAAAAAACGGCTTTCTTGTTGCGACTGGTCCAGGACCCCGACAGGTCGAAGTGACCAGCCTTCACTTCGTTCTATGAAAGGAGTAACAGTGGTTACGCAATAAAGCCAAAAAACAGTAAAACGACAATCAGACACCAAAACGCAGTGGAATACATTGCAGGTAAGTCTTTTTTATTCAATTCATTTAAGAAAAAGTAAGGTTTAGCGTTATTTAGCGTGCGTAGATCTCAGTAATATATTTCTCATACAAAGTCTCTTATATTTTCAACGGTCGCCTGTAACGCGACACCGGCGCGTCACCTATGGTATGTAAATTACATTACACTCTTCCCTCGCAACGTGAGTTTGGGCCACCTGTGCTACGCTGTGAAACTAATTGCCAAACGAGGATTTATTTCAGCATCACGCTCAAACGAGCTCAATTTACAATTGCAGTTAAAATTTACAGTCAAACCAGGTCAAGCGTTCCCGTCGCTAACAAAGTAATGAATTCATTAATGGAAAGATGATTTCGTTTGTTGATTCAATAATCCATTCATAAAATGAATAATCCAACGGTCAAATTGTACCTCGATTCAATAATCAAATGTTGATTTGGTTTATGAACAAAATCTACCTGTTCTTTATTCTTGTCTGTTGTGTTCAATCGTATTTGCTTCCCTTTTCCTGCCGTTTACGATTGCGTTTTTCATTGCCTTTAATCAAAATAACAGCTAGAATAGACAGACCGCAAACGCAAAGAAACTGACAAAGGCCGAGGATCGAAATCCACCAATCACCGCACATACACTGACCTCAGTTTGACCGTCGTGTTTTCTAAGAGGTCAGGCCTAGGTCTGTTGCACTGATTATTGGCAGCAACCTGGCGTACATGTAACAGTTTGTTTGGGTTTGAACTTCAGAACTCGCCAGCACTCGACTCTCAGAAAAAAAAGAGGAAAAAACAAAATTCTGAGGTCAACTTGTGGAAAGTGTAATTTTTCAAAAAACAGTAATTGAATCAACATTCGATTATGGAATCGAGGCTAAATATGACTATTGGATTGTTCATTTTATGAATGGATTATTGAATCAACAAACGAAATCATTTTTCCGTGAATGACTTCATTAGTTCGTTAGCGACGGGAACGCTTGACCTGGTTTGACTGTAACCTATTGCTGGGACAAACAATCCTCTGAAGCACAATCTACCCGGTACTGACTCAAGCAGTCTTCAAGGAAATTTCCTGGCCAGAATACTGATCTGTTCTTTTTAAAAAATAAAGTTCTGATATATTTTTTTTCAATTTCTGAGCAGACTTCTTTAGCGTTGTGCCGCTTGCATGCTGCGTGGTACCTTTGTTTGGGTTCCAGTATCACATTGAAACACACGGCATTATTCACCGCTCCTTGTTCTAATTAAAATAATTATAGTCAAATTCCTTTTAAAAATAACTACTTTGAAAATACAAAGTGCTTCGGCATAAAGCGCTCTCGAAAGCACCCAACAGATTACAGCCTTCAGCAGGCTTTACATATATAACACATATATTATGAACCCCACACATGGCGTTGAAATGTGATAAAAGATACGAAATTTCAGTCATCTTTGCTCGATAAAAAAGTCTTCAAAATGCCGGTACTTCTGGGTACTTCTTACCCTGTACAATATTCAGGACTTCATTTTGCTGGCGTGAGGTCCACATTTAGAAGACTTTAACATATAATCCAAAAAATCGTGAATACTCATGACCTTGTTGTGGGTCACTGAACACTTTGTGATGTGAAGACTAAGTGAAACAATGAAAATAAATGTTTCTATGTGGAAACTTCGCTCTTAAGCCATTGCAAATAGGAGAAATCATGTCAAATAACTAAATAATGCAAGTTTCTTATTTTTACTGGAACACAAATGAGAAAAAAGCCGACGAGAAAACGACCTTAATCCACGATGGAATCTGCCATGACTGCAATGTTGGGTGATGCTTCTGGAAAAATGCATCATGGGATATTATTGATCGTCGTCTTCTTCTAGGCTATGCACTGAGAAAGATGGCGGAGCCAGTAGGTCGCTTACAACTGGCTGATACTTAACTACTTGGAAAGAAAAATTGTTTTTCTGTAGTTTAGTACACCAGAACGGATAAAAGCCAATTTAAGCTTCACGCCAAGCTCATATCTTCAGGGAAGAATTTGCAGATTCTCTTTCATGGCAAGGCGCAGGTGGTAACATTGCTGTGTTTAGGATCTAGCCTTGAAAGGAAACTCGCTTCTAGACTACTTGTGCACTCCTTAGTGGTAAGTTTGTCCTCAAAAGTATGCTGTTACAGATAGTTTTTAAAAAAATTATGTAGTGATTCATTTGAATGGTTTTTTCTTATGGATTTTATCTTACAGTTGATAAGATTCGAAAACAAGAAAGTAAAGGAGAGGTAACATTTGAATTTTTTCGTCCCAGTTTAGATTATGGGAGGGTAACTTGATGCATATATTTTCTCTTTCGTCATTGTCATATTTAAGATCGCATGTATTCTTTGATTTCAAGGACAGATTTGGAAACAGATCTAGCTCAATCTTCTAAGAATATCACTACTGAACTATGCGTAATTAGCATAACGGAGCGACGCCGCTCAACACTATATTCTTGCACCGCTAAGGACAAAAATTTTCTCATTGGTACAAAGAATCAGACTTTAATAACCTTCATTGCATTTTATTCGGTAAAATGGTATTGCTCACAGTCCTATGTTACTGTGCAAGCAATTTTCGCAAAGGAAGCCAAGCTTAAAATGCGGCTTTAACCTATAAAGAAGTTCAAGAACAATGATTTCTACCTGAAATGTTAATGACTCCTCTTTATCGTAACTGCAACATTAACCAGCATCATGAACGGAGAAAAAAAATGTTAGTGTTTTTGACTAGAAAATCATACGATCAACTCAACTCAACTTGCAGCTTTGAATACTGTTTGAACTGGCACCAAGTGTTAGCATGACAGTAAGCTTATGTATTTAGAAACAAACAAACGGGCGCTTTTATTATTCAGTGGCAATTAATGGCGCCAAGGCGTTTCGATTTCATAAGTCGGTTTAATGCAACATCAGACACTGTTTCTTGACCAACGATAATTGAATTGGTGGCCACTTCCCCCGCATTGAAACGATTACAAGTAATTCACCTACTACATTTGATGGCTCAGTAAATTACCCTGCGAGCGGAGGTTTCTCTCTCGCATGGCTTTTAGTGTTTACTAAGTCGTTCGCGTGGCTTGTCTGTCGCGTAGTTGGTTTGTCCCCGTTCACGGGGAGTAAACAAACCAACTACGCCACTGACAAGCCACGCGAATAACTTCGTAAACGCTAAAAGCCATGCAAGAGAGAAACCTCTGCTCGCAGGGTACAGAAAATAGGCCATTTGCGAGTTTCAAAATATGTCGCTTTCAAAACAAGGCTACGTTCAAAACCGAGTTTGTGAAAATGAATATTTTTGCATATTGAGAATAATAAAAAAAACATTTTCATATCAATAGCTTCGCACTTAGCCGGCAGTCAAACAGAGGCTAATGGAGCAACTTTGAAATTATCTATTTCATGTTTGCCTAATTTTCTCAAGTTTCACAAAAATCACCGGTTTAGTTCAGTCCCTCTCAACCTCCTCAGCGAATTTTCGAATTTTGCAAATTTTCCAATTTTTCGCAAATTTTGCAGGTTTCACAAAAATCGCATTATTAGTTGGGGTCCTCTTAACCTCCCCTTTTACTGCTTTTCACTGATTCAGTAAATTTTCAAATTTTTTGAAAATGTTACAATTTTTGCACTGCGTGCCCCGGGGGGGGCACTTGGGTATTTTTTGGGTGGGTATGTGCCGCCCGGGACTCCAAATTGGCACCCCGTTCTAGAAAAAATTTCCCCTAAAATTGATACCCCGTTCTAGAAATAGGCCAATTTTTTATACCCCGTTCTAGAATTCGCCCTAAAACTAACACCCCGTTCTAGAAATGGGCCAATTTTTTATACTCCGTTCTAGGGTGCAACAAGAGTACAACGGTTTGCTTCTTAACGCACTGAACCGTATTTTAAAAGCAATCTGTCCTTGAATGCTTTCAAATGGCTACTTACAAAAGTGGAGAGCTTTCGTGCGTTCGAAATATTATACCCCGTTCTAGAAACCGCGTCTGAAATGGATACCCCGTTCTAAACCAGGAGCTTCAAAATCACGACCCCTTTGGGCGGCACATACCCGTATAGGTAATGTATGGGAGTACCCCCCCCGGGCTGCGTGCAAACCTGGACATATCTCATCCGATACAGATAAACATCTATTGGAGGCACATTTATTAGAGTGACAGTCCTGAAGCATTTATTTGAGAGTGGAAGTCATTAGATCATTTCACTACTGGCCAACTACGGTTAATAATACAGTCGACTCTCTCTTAACGGGCACCTCTATAAGACGGACACCTCTGTAAAACGGACACCTAGAGTTGGTCCCTGCCTTTGTTTATTCCCTTTATTGACTCTTTATAAGACGGACATCTCTCTAAGACGGACACTTAGTGCCGGTCCCAAAGGTGTCCGTTTTGGAGAGAGTTGACTGTATAGATGCAAGGAAACTGGCTGTGTGTGTTCTTGTTGTTTACACCCCAATAAAGCAAAGAGACAAACAGGAAGGCAATGGTGAACCTTAAAAGAAGTAGGCAAGTTGACTTTTGTAATATTCAGGGGCACCCCACGTCAATTTTCGGAAAATATCTGTTTGGAAGACGATTTGAGATCTACAATTTTCGGAACATTTGTTGTAAAATTTCTTGCTTGCCTGCCTCTTCTAGGATTTTCGAACATCTAATAAAAAATGGTATAATTGCCCATGTTTAACGGATCTTTACCCTAAAAAGGTCACCTAGAATTTTCGGGAGCCTTTTTTCTTGCTGAAATTTTCGAAAAGATAAGTTTTGATCCCTTTAATTTTCGGATCACTAGACCTTCACTAGGAAATCCGAACAGATGAAAATTTTTAGGGGATAAAAGTATGCCTAGGCCTATATCTACCGTTCAAATACTACAATACGGTTAACAATGCTATGTTTAAGTGGTTTTGAACTATATTCTCGTTGGGTGCCCCTGAATATTGTGTTTGACTATTTATTGCCAAATCAGTGTCTACGGAATCTACCTGGTGAAGTGCTCTTAAAATCCTTTACCTTAAAATACCAGGCCTATAAGTCCAACAGGACTCTTTTGTTCAAAAGATACATAACCACTATTCACTGGATTAACTTCAGTGGGCAATGTGATAAAATATGTGGTAAATATGTTACAATTTATAGCAAGGACTTACATTCCCCTTCAATTCATCAGTCATGGCTGTCTCATCCAATCATCCTGAGAGCATTAAAGCAAGAAGGAGTCTGGACAATTCAGAGGTCTATTCTTTTCTCTTATTTCTTTTAACAAAAAGCTATATTTTATTCATATTATACTATGTTTTTGACATGTCAGCTGTTGATTGACATGGTTGACATGATGACTAATATTAACCATTAGTAAAATCCAACTAGTGGTCTATTGTCAATGCTGCGTTCTGATTGGTTGAGCTACCAGTGAGTACTAGGCTCTTATTATGTTATAGCCCACTAGTAGCGAAAAGCGCCGGCTTTTTGGCGGCAAAAAGTCTTAAAGTCTAGCTTTAACTAGCTAAAGTTTTTTTGTCTCGATATTTTTGACCAACAAGTTAGATTTTACTAAAACAATTATTCCTCTCGCCCTCATGGCCTTTGACTCAATAGCCCATTCGTGCTTGAGGAATAATTGTTAAATATTTACCTCCTTAGGGAGTGGATAACGCGTGAGCTCGGTGACCTTCCAATTTTTGTAGACAATGATCTTCAGAAATTCGACAAAATCCTAGGGTTGATGTTTGTTAAAAGGCAAGAAAAGACTTCGAACGATTCAAAACAGCGTTTTCCCATTTACTTTGGTTGATTTTTTTTGCTCGAAGGATGTTTACAACTACTGTTAAGTTTGTTCAAAGTAGCATGAAGAGGCCGTTTTGAGAACTCAGTGTATTTCCCACAAGAAAAATTTTGCCCAAAAATCGAAGTTTGTGGAAATTCTACGTTTCTATTAAATAGGACAAAGAGTACTACAGGACTAACAACGCCTTACCTTGAGCAAACGAGCTGCCATGACAGTACTTCATGCGAAGAACGACCAAAAAAACCTTTTTCACTCACTAACTACAGAAAATGACAAAGCTCCATTTTTCTTCTCATTCTTTCTTCTTTAAACTTTTAGCGGTGCCATTTAAGCTATATTTGCATTACGCTGTTGTATGCGAAATTATAAACTTGCGAATTGCCATGTGCTCTGTCGGCTTGTTTTTCGAGTGGTCTTTAATCGTCTAGGGGGCAGTACAAGGTGCAATGATTCCAACTCTTTTTTAGGAGCAGCCTGTTAACTTTTTGGAATTAAAATTTTGAATGAAAAACGAGGGTAATCTGAGCAAGTGATCTCATACTCCTGCAAAGAGCTTCAAACTTTAGTGCAAGTTTACAAAAATGATCATTCACTCGGACCACCCTTCAAGTTCTTGTATGCCCTGCAGTGGTATAAAACAAGTGATAAATAATTTTATGCGCCAAAGTTTATGAATCCCCCAATGATTTTTCATGCTGTTTCGCGTCTTATTCAGCTACCGCAGTGATGGAGGGTTGGAATAATTTTGGACCAACTTCCCTCCTTTTGCCGGTCTTTGTTTCTTATAATTACATGTTCCTTCATTCAAACATTCAAACCGGGGGTGTGGTGTTGCAGAGGGTGTGATTGCCAAATCCCTACTGCAAAAGACTGATAAGATACCGAACCTGAATGCATAAGTGAAACCACAAGAAAACATTGTTAAAATTTAGTATTTTTTGGTGGATAAGACCCTAAAAAGAAGGGACACTAACTAAAAATTGGACAGTTGTATACAAATTTAAGAAAACTCATTTTCAAAGTGATCAATATTTCTCGAAACAAAAGTACTGAAAGAACAATGAATGATATTCCTTGATAAAAAGTAATAAACATTCACCACAACTAAACAAAATCCAATAATTAATTCAATAGGACATGACAATTATTTTGAAATAAAAGTTAGCTTAATTTCAAACCCGTTCCACCTTTAAGAAACAAGTTTATTTTCTGCAACGCAACATTCTTGCGTTCGAGATACGAGAACGCAACCCCTCATTTGTGTTGGGTATTCTGTGTATTATTGCGTGTCCTATGCAATTAATAAGAGAGGTTTTTTAGAGATTTCATTTGTGTCGACACACGTTTGCCTTGCTTTGAAGCGACTGCTTCCGTTTTGCCTCACTTTGACGCGCTCTGTGTTTGTTGAATCTTCCAAAGCGTTCAAAAAAATAAAATAAGTAAAAAATTTACTTTGGATTAAGCCTTCATGTTTTCAGTATGGTTCGTCACTGTCTTTGGAAAATGTGTGCGACTCCTGGTGCACGCATCAATGAAACCAGCCGTTGTGCCACAAAGTGAATCCACTGAGTTTTGTAGCTTAGCGGCCGTTGCGCCACTAACTAAATCTACCGAGTTGTGTAGCTTGGCGGCCGTTTTGTGTTGCTCGCCGGCCGTTGCGCTACAACGTGTGGCACAACGGCCGGCGAGCTAAAATCTAGCGAGTGAAGCTCGGAGCGCCTTTTCATCATGACTTGTGATATTTTCGGCACCGGACAAACGAACATTTATGCTCCATGGTCTTAGGTCTTTAATATCAACACAAGTTAAGAAGACTTGCTAGTAACGTTTTCGTTTTATAGTAAATTTCAGTAATTGTCTACAAGTGGAATTCCCAATAAATAAAATTAATGATTACATCTAAAACGTTGTCAACTGTTTGCTTTTTAACAGTATCTGGCCCGGGTTGTTCGAAGCTGGTTAAACCCAGGGTTAGTGCAAAATTTAAATTCGGATGTGACAGCTTAAAAAGTAAATTCAGTTTAATTCATTTTGTCAACAGGTTGATGATTGGATGCTCTTAAAAATAACAGAGAAAATTATCCGAAGAGATGGTTTTGAACAAAAGGCAAACAAACCCGGGTTAAGTGCTAATCAGGCCTTCGAACATCTGCGTCCTGTAGAACATCTGTTGCGCGTTCTATGTATTTACACACCTGACACACTCTGGCCAGTGTCTCCTCAAATTACAAGCACTTGAAACGAACCATACGATAATGACAAGCCTTCAAAACCTTTTCATAATGAAACACAGTTTAAATACAGGTTTTGCTGTACGTAATCCTTACGTTCAAAATATGCCAAAATCATATTTTTCTATAGCAAGAACCATCCACTCTTCCCCCTCAACTGCTACCTGTAGGCCCAACAAACATATTGAACGCACTCTCCTAAGCTCCGATAAATCCTAGTTTTGCGTTTAAGGGACTGGTTCACGATAATGCGCATGTGTGAGTTCTGACAGTAGCTGATTGTTTTTCAACCAATCGGAAGCGAGTTAGATGCACGCAAGTAAATTTACAAAATTCAAATTAATTGTTCGCGACGCGAGAGTATTTCCGGGCATTTGGTTTAATTTTATTTATCCCCATAATTAAAGTTTATTCTTTGGTACTCCTCAGATATATGTTGCAGCCGATAAGAATAAGATTTACAGCCCTGTCCTGCTTTGAAACAAACATTTACCAACGTGTATTTTTACGAGGTCGTACCCACGCTAACAAAACCGTCACCGATCGGCAAACAAAATTTGTAAACAAACATCTTATTACTGTTCTCTCAGTTCGCCTTATATAAACCCAGAAATACCTACAAATAGCGCCTGACCGGTGACAAAAACACACAACGTATGAGTGTAAAGATTATCCTTAACTGAGCATAAATTTCAATTGCTTATCAGCAAATGAACAAATTCATTCGCGTTGCATCGGGTCAGTGTTCCGCAAAACAAATGTTATCGAGTAACACACATAAAGAAACTAGATTATAAACAGAATATTCAGGCAATAATATATTTTAAAAACATCAATTCTTCAACATATAGGATCGTAAAGCAAAGATGCAAGGAACATTTCAAGTGTACCAGATCAGTGAAGATCGCGCGGCCTGTTGCGGTATAACCACAGGTCGGAGTCAAAAATTAAATCAAAGTTGAACGAACTCATGCCTTAAACCACTTTCCAAGTGTCGTGTATTCTTTTCGTATGCCACACACTACTCCTAGAACACATACCAGATCGATAGGCTAAGCTTCTCTATCTCCAGAGACTCTTGAGAACGTCCTGTTGCCGGACGGCCACGATGCTCGTCTGAACCTCCATGATCAAAACATTATTTTTTGCGTCTTCTTAAAACGTAACCAGTCAAACGACACAACCACGCGTTAATCACCACTACCGAAGTATAACTAGACCAGCCAAAGCGACGGATGTCCGAATAAAACGAAGGATTTTCAATGATTGTACCGGTAATGGCGATTTCGAATTTAGTGTTGACCCGACAAATTTATTCTGAAGAGACAAACGTCGCGCATGCGCATTATCGTGAACCAGTCCCTTTAAATGTGCTACTTTTCTCCTTCAACTTCAGCCTTGCATTAGGGCGTTTTTTACTTTAAATTATTCTACAACAATACAAAATCTCCCGAATTTACCAGGAACTAACACTCAAGAAATATTGCACTAAGAACTAACACTCTGTGGGGTCCCCCATGGTTCAGTGACAACTTTAATTCCTCCTGTGCATTAATGATATCCACAAATCAAGCAGTGTGTTCAACTTTTATTTGTTTGTTGATGACACTAGCATGTTGCATGCTAACAAAAACTTGCGCGAACTTGAAAACAAAGTTAACACTGAACTTGGAAATTTTTGAGATTGGCTGAAGGCCATTAAAATATCACTTAAAATTAAGAAATCAAACTTTGTAATTTTTTTTTCCGGGTCAAAAATCATTTACCATTTATTCCTCGCATTAGTATTCTGGATTATGAAATGAATTCACACAAAACCCTCGAGAAGAAGGAATATGTCAAATACCGAGGAGGTTGTATTGACGCTGATCCTTCCCGGAAACACCATATCGAGCTCATATCGGAAACATCAGTAAATGCGTTGGTGTTATAGCAAAGTTCAGACATTTTGTTCCTCGTCAAACTCTTTTGAGTATCTTTCAGTCCCTTATTTCGCCTTATCTAACCTATGGTATATGTGCTTGGGGCCAAGGTGCTAAAGTCAATATAAACAAATTCGTTGTCTTTTGTAGGCTTGCTATCCTGAGACTAGTGGTCTTTCTACCAGGACAATGTTATATGTTACTCTTCTTGGTGATGAGTGGAGTTCATCTGCTGGTGGGTTGTCAACAATAAACAGAGAACTTGCAATTCACCTTTCAAATCATCCAGCAGTGAAGGTTTCTTTGCTAGTCCCAGAGGGAGCTTGCAATTGTGAGGAAAGGAGTGAAGCCCATACCTATGGAATCTCTGTCGTTGAGGCCAAGAGAATTGTAGCATTTGATCCTCGTGATTGGTTAAGCTTTCCACCCCATCAGCACCTCATGGACATCGTTGTTGGCCATGGTGTGAAACTTGGTCGGCAAGTACAAATCATAAGAGACTCGTCTCAATTTTCAGATTGTACGTGGGTACAAATGGTTCACACTGCTCCAGAGGACCTTAGCAGATACAAGTGCTACAGTGCTGACAGTGATGCCATTGCAAAAGGTGAAACAAAACACGAATCAGAAGTTGAGCTTTGCAAACTTGCTGACCTTGTTGTGCCTGTGGGACCCAGACTGAAAGAAGCATACTCTTCATATTTACAGCGATGTAAAACTGATGAAGACGTTTTGTCCTTTACTCCAGGCCTTTTTCAAAGAGAGTTTGGGGATTTAGTAGCAAAGCAAGAGCCTAACGAGAATGGCGAATTCAAAGTGTTGTTATTTGGTCGTGGAGATCCTGAGGACTTTGAACTCAAAGGGTACAACATTGCTGCTGAGGCATTTACTGATCAACGGCTAAAAAAAAAACCTTACCATCTAATCTTTGTTGGAGCACCTGATCGAAAGCAAGGTAAAATTAGAAGAAAACTTCTAAGACGTGGTATTGCAGAAGCACAGTTGACTGTTAGAAAATTTATACAAAGAAGAGACGGAATGAAAGATTTGCTGTGCGAAGCTGACCTTGCCATCATGCCATCAAAATCAGAAGGGTTTGGACTCGTCGCACTCGAGGCCTTGTCTGCAGGTTTACCTATTCTTGTTGGCAGTAGGTCAGGATTTGCCAAAGCATTAGAAAATTTTCCTCATGGTCATACATGCATCGTGAAGTCAGATGACCCTGCAGAATGGGCAGAGGCAATAGAAACCGTTCGTATCAGGCATGGAATGCGGCTTCAAGAGATAAAATCACTGAGAGCATCTTATGGGGAGATGTACAGTTGGAAGGAGCAATGTGAAACCCTTGTGAACAGAATGTGGAAAATTTATCATGGTAAGAGTTTTTTTGTTAAGTGATGATGTACTTAATTGATTATGTTGTACCAGACATTACTGACTCTAATATAGTTTTCGTGGCACTATATACCGAAAATGTAAGATTGCAGCGATAGTCTGTTACAAGCACTGAATAGATGTACTTTTGTAACCTTATTATTGATTGTACACGCTAGGACTCTCAGTTCTCTTTGCAAATTTGGTACATGTAAATATCATGCCAGAATATTTTATCGTGAAAAGTAGAGCATGTAGATACATATGGCCAGGACACTTAAAACAATATACCCGTTCACATTCTTAACTGAGATCAGGCCCCATTTACAGCAGCTTCCATACATTCTGTCTTACGTGGTCGAGCTAAAAAGTCTCTCACGCCCGGGGCGGATAAAGGTTGATCGATGAAACGAACACTCCGCCCTTCAAGTGATGCGTGATGCGGAGTAGGACTGGCACGAGCGCTCTTTCCGCCCTTCCAGAGCGCTTGAAGGCCTGCAAAATGTTCCTATTCAAAAACCGGAAATCCTATTTTCTTTCTGTAATTTCAGCCAACAGTCTAAAAAAAGGAAATTCGTTTCATAACAACGTTGATAAACAGTTTCATATTTTTATGTCTGTACACCTATAAGTCAAACTTGTTGCTCGTATAATGCCAAAACTTGAGTTCAATTTGAAAGTACTGAATGCCTCCTCTTGCCATTAAATATGACCTTATCGTCCTTCTACGTTTCTTTTGCAAAAGCTCCAAACTACTCAACCTTAATTCTTACGTACGTTGAACGAGGATAAATTTTACATAACAAAACTGAAAATTAGCGGGGTATATTTGGACATAGTGGCGTTGTACTACTTCAAACTTCGCCCCTCGGTTGCAACGCGCCATAGCGATTCGCGAAGTAGATAGGTCGCAAATCCGGCAACCGTAGTGGAAACAAAGTTAACCTGGTGGAGGTTTCCTCTGTTTAAACATGCTAACAAGACAGTCAGTCCAAATGAGGGGCCACTCATTCTCTCAACTTTCCGCGTACATTCACACAAACTCGATATACGAGCAGCTAAATACTATCCAAAAAACAAAGTTGACAAAAAACTGTAACTGCAAAATTCTCTAAACGAGCGACACAGAAATTAGCAAACGCTTTTATTCAGTTGGTTTGTTACGAACACGGCACATTAGTCTAGTTTTGTTTGAGAGAGAAGTGACAGTGAAAATTTGTACACTTATTCGGGCAAAGGGAACACTAAGACCAAAGAGTTTTCAAGCCCACATAATACGTTAACTCACGACAAATGTTCGTTATAAAGACGTCCTGGAGGATGGTTTGGATTTCATAACAATGTTCACGTTTTGATGGCGAAATCCGAGAAACTTGTTGTTAGGCGAAGATGGCTGTCATATTATGATAAATCTCTTTTGCGAACTTGGAAATCTTAGCTTTGATATATTTTTCACAAGATATCTTGAGAGGAAATCGCCTAAGTTGTTTTTATTAGTAATACAGTAAAGCTTGTGTCACGTTTTTGCTCATGTGCAATTTGTTTATTAACTAATGTGCAAAATTCGCTATTTCCGTGTAATTACATTGTTTTCAGAAGGATAAACAAACTTTGAGAAGAAGACAAATTTTTAGTTAGATGTTCTCCGACACATGTACAGACCAACTTGTGCGGTCTTAAATTATTTCTAGTTCAATGTCCGTCTTCAACCACAATTTTCACAACTCGGACTCTAGTAAAACTGAGACAAATTTTTATCACTTTTGCTGTTAGTTTGAGTGGCCAGGAGCTCAATTCCAAAAAACTACAGTGTTTCAAGTTCTTCTTTCTTCTTAATTTTCTTCGGTTATTGAAGAGTTGGAAAACTCATAACTCATTTTCCTGTTCCCAACTTGCCGTTTACTATGATCTGTAAGTCCATAATTTAATCCCAGTCCACTTCATCCACCTTTTTGCTTGGACGCGCTCGTGTCATCCTCCAACCTTTATACGCCCTGCTCGCGCCTATGCTGCTGCAACGCTGATTGACCCTTAGGACGATGCAAAACGATCTGATTGGCTGTTGGAATCACCAGAAGCTGAAGCACTAGAATCCTAGCGCTCTTTCTCGATCTCTTCGCGAATGATTCGCCATGAGAGGAGAGTTCTCTAATGTATCTTTTGGAAGGTTTACGGTTTCTCAGGGACCGCGCAGAGGGAGGGGCTGGGGGGGCTTTAGCCCCCCCCTCCCACTTTTTTGCAAGAATAAAAATAAATTAAACAAAAAATAATTTAACAAAAGTAATGGAGTGAAAAATAGCAAAAAATCGTTAATTCGAAAGTGACCAGAGTTACTGGCAAAGACAAACGCGCAGATAAATAGACAGAATGAAGCATTAGTCGTTACAATTGTAAAATATTTTTTCGCTTCTAACCTATCAGAGGTAAACGTCTTTTAAATGGCTTCTTTTTCCTGCGGACTTCTCAGGAAAACGCGTTGTTTCGTAATTGGTTAATTTCGATCCAAAGTAATAACTGGGTTTAGTTTATAAGGCGATTCTCAAACAAATTGTTTATTAGTTTCAACCTTGATTTTTGGAAGATCATGAACTTATTGTTTCTCTTGTTATTGTGCGTCCTGATTTTAGCTTGATCAGCGCGAAGTCCGTCTTTTGATGTCAGGCTTCACGGCTCGTTGAGCATTCCAATTGCAAGTTTTGTTGAACACGGTCTGTTTATAAAAACATTTTGTCATCGAAAGTACTTAAACCGCAGAATTGTGTATAGCTCTGGTCATCAAGGAACATTCAATCCGGCGGTTATTACGAACAAAGAAGTGCACATGGTACACGGCAACATAAATACGAACGACGAGACTTCACATACCACTAGTAATGCAAAGAAGAGATCTCTTAAAATTTCTGATTACTTTTCCAAACATAATGGAAAACCTTCTTTATCTGGTGAGTAAACTCTGAATAATTTTTGCTACTTTTTTCTGAATCTGTTCTATAATTGAATTATTTCCAATCACTTTTTCATGTGACATAGTTTTTGAAATATTGGTCTAATAATGTTTCATTTACATTCTTTAAACGAGCCTCCATCCAAAAGAATGTGCGAAACAATCAACTTCACTAGTGAAGTAGAAGCCACAATATCCAGTCAAGAGTCGCAGCCTCCTCCAATCCAACGACAAGTTGATCAGTCGACAGCCAGCGAAGCTGTAGACATCAATATAACGGAACCATTCCAACCTGCGGATTTCAACTTTCCAAAAAAGCATTGTGGCAAACAGAATCGCGTATTTCAATCCAAGTGGTTTTCGGAATTTCGCTGGCTACACTATAATGAGCAAAGCGATTCTCTGTTGTGTTTCATTTGCATGCAACAAAATGCAAAATCAAATCTTCGAGCTGCCAGAAGTAAGGAAGTCTGCTTTATTTCTAAAGGGTTTTCAAACTGGAAAAAGGCGTTGGCGCGATTCAAGGAGCATCAAGTGTCTGAATGCCACAAAATAGCCATTGACTATGAAACAAACCTTTCCAGAACTTGCGGAAATGTGTGGGAGATGTCCAGTGATGCAGCAAAAAAGACAATGGAGTCTAACAGTATATGCTTCATCAAATTCCGATAGCAACATCACTGAAGATGTGGAAAAAAATCAATAGTTTTATCGTTATTCGCATTCTCGGTCACTTTAGAGAAATTGAATAGAAATCCACAAGCATGCCCCCCAAAAAATTTTCCTTCACGCATTCTTCTTTAGCCCCCCCACTCGAAACTTGCTGCGCGGTCCCTGTTTCTGGGAACGAAACTTAACTATATTTGTCATGGACATTTCCAAAGATATGAGTGAAGACCGGAAAAGTTTGGGAGCTTTCGAACTGAATCCTCGATAAAGCTCGTGCCTTGGCACCATATTCGTGTACAGAAATTCTCGTTACTAACCCTTGAAGACTAAGAAATGGATTGAACCTGACTGGTATATTAAAGGCCCGGGGGGGTACTGCCATATATGGGCTATATAGGTATGTGCCGCTGTGAAGGGTATGGTTTTCAAGCAGTTTACTCTAGGATAGGGTATATAAATCAGAGCGTTGGGTCTAGAATAGGGTATCATTTTTAAGGAAACTGATCAGTTGGTTGAAGATTTATCTAGACTAGGGAAACAGCTACTCTAGGATAGGGGGGATTTGGGGAGTTTACTCTAGTATAGGGTAGCAAAATTCAGCTGAACTAGCTCTGGTATAGGTTAAGTGTTCCAGGGTCCCAGCGGCACATCCCCACCCAGAAATTCCTAAAGTACCCCCCCCCCCCGGGATTAAAGGAAGGAAACACCGTTCTACTGCTTTGCATATCTTGTGAGTTATATTCAACCCCAATTCCCATGCACGTCAATAAGCTTAATTAACAGTTAATGAATGAGGCTGAGTATCTTATGAACAATTATGGAGATCGTCGAAGAGGGTGTTATCGGATAACCCCCTAAGGGCGTACGGTCTTGTGTGTGCAACTCGCGGCACTAAGTTTCGTAGCAGGTCGGAAGCAGAGTAACTTCGCTTGAGAAATGTTATGCACGCCTTCTCCCTCCTCTGCCGCAGCAGAATTAAGCCTGATTTCTTGAGCGCGTCCTCATAGCACAGAGAAGGAAAAATAGTTTTTTAGCGCCCTCTTTTGTATTGATTCAATGTGATCACTTAAGTATTGCGTGAGGTCAGCCCAAGCGGGACTCGCATACTCTAACACAGACCTGATGATACTACAATAGACAAGAATACGCTGCCTATCAGTTAGTCTGCACTTCTTAAGGGCGCGTATTGCATAGAACCGCTTACTCCCTTTCTGAAGAACTGTTTTGGAATATAATCTTAAAATAGAGTTCTAGTACTTTAAAAAGTTATGATCTTTCTTTTTACAATCGAATTTACTCGGAATTCCTATTGCTTCTTGAGCTTAAATGTTTTGTATCAAAGTGGATTACAATGCATAATAAGACCTGTGATTTTTAGAATAAGAGTTTCAGTTGACACTTGTAACCTTTGACTGTCAAAATTAATGACGTTACTGTAAACTGATACACGGGGCGTGGTTCCACAAGGGTGGTGGAGAAACAATGGTTTAAAACATTCAATATATACATTATTTAGTAAGAAGCTTAGTAACGGCTTGTTCTCACACCAGATGCTTCTGATATACCAGGAGAAGTTTCTGTCACTGAAGAGCAGAATTTTTGGGCCATTTTAAAAAGTACAGTAACGTGGTGTTTATTTATTTGTTGCCTTTCTGTTATGGCTTAAAACATGTTCTTTCCGTATGACAGCATTACTCTTATTCTTTTTTCACACTGCAACGAGCTTAGAAGCCTGTTTCCTTATGCATTTTCCTGTTCACGGACCCACTGTTTTCTCTTCAAAGTCCGTCGAGCCCGGGTGATAAAATATAAACCGCAAGGGATTTATTGACTTTTTTCCTCGCGCTCCGCGCTCGTTCTCGCGTGCTCGCGAGCAGGCGAGCTTGCCGATGTGTTCGAAAACGTCTGTGTACCGGTTCCTTATGCATTAGTTAAAAAATATTTTTTCTCTTGAATCGTAAAAGCGATTTCTGCTTTCTATCAATAATTTTCAGATGAAGCAAACACTGTAAAGATGTCAATCTCCACACGTGATTTAAGAAGTGAATTGGAGGATGTTGTGAATCGAATGTTAAGACAACAACTTGAAGTGTACTTGAAAGACAAAAAAGAAAACAAGCTTTCCACGGCCCATGGACTGAGTAATTTCGTTAAGTATTTAGAAAGTACTTATACCTTTTCCTTAACATCTCTTGGAGAAGGATCTTTGGTAATAAAAGGTCAGTGCCCCGACCTACAGAGTCTCGAAAGTCTTTGGAATGACTACAATTCTGGTGTCCTGAATGAAGCTGCAGAGAGGTTTTTAGTCACTGATGACATAAAGAGAGCGATCAATTTGGAAACCGTCAAATTAAAGACCATTATTGAGGTAGACAACTATTTGTGTTGCAAAAAAGCTCTTACGGAAGATTCAGGTGAGTTGGGCCGTTAGCACAATTTCTTGGGCAATTATTCTTTAAATAAGAAACTGACATAATTGCTCTGTTAGTGTTTTATAGCGATGTACTCAAAATTATACAATGGATCTGTGAAAACCGGGTTAGCAAACATTTTGTAATTTCTCTCAATTTCCCGGGCAGGCAGAACTCAGGTATGTGGTCACGTTGTGGAACTGTTGCACCAAACTATTCTGTGCAAACCATAAAAACGTTTCGTCGGTGTTTCTCTACTCAGGAAAATTGGGTATAGGTCTAGTTTCAGCGGGATCCTAGCTTTTGAACAATAGGCCAGTTTTTGCAGATAAGAACTAAGGCCAGGTGATAATTTGTGAACTATGTTTCAATAAGTTTGTTGTCTCTTCCATGCGAAATCCTGTCATTTATCGGACTACGAAGAAAGTAGTGTTTTGCTAACTAACCAGGCACTTTTTTGCTGCATTTTACTTAACTTAAAAATTTCGAGACTGAAATGACACCGGTCTAAAACTTCATGGAGTCAGATTACTGAATATTAACTGTTCTAAAATTTGTGCCATTTAGAAATTGGACTCGTTGAAATGCTTCTAGAGACCCCTAACTTACTGCCTGGCGTCAGTAAAGACTTTTCATCTGCCTTTGAATGATTTTTTATTGTTTTACATTGCAAAGTAGTAGAATGAGTTAATTTTTGTGGCTAACCCGGTTTTCAAAACTCCAGGTATAAATTGCACATAAATCACAAAGGAGCAACTCTAAATCAGTGAAATGTCTCTCATGATTCTCTCTGGCATGCATGTTCTTTGTCGGCAAGCTCATTGGGTAAAAATAAGCACTTTTCTAGGTATAATCATCCTCATATTCTTCGCATGTGCTCTAAGTCATTATAGAGAGGTGACAAGCCACTATGTGACATTGAAGACCTCATGGAATATCAGGCAAACCTGAAAAGTGTTTGCAAGTTTAAAGTGACTCGATTCTAATTAATAATTATTTTTCTTTGCAAATAACATAATTGGGCTTTAGACACTTATTCCATTGATATAACTGCACATAAATCACAAAGGAGCACTAAGACTCTAAATTGGTTAAAGATCAGTGACAATCTCTCATGATTCTCTCTTGCATTGTTAAAAAAAAAACGCTTTTCTTGGTATAATCATCCTCATATTCTTCCCATGTACTCTAAGTCATAGAGAGATGACAAGCCACTTTGTGACATTGAAGACCCCATTGAAGATCAGGCAAGCCTGAAAAGCGTTTGCAAGTTTAAAGTGACTCGATAGTACTTAGTAACTATTTTGCTTTGCAAATATCGCAATTGGGTTTTAGACAATTATTCCATTGAGATAATTGCAAAGAAATCACAAAGGAGCAACTCTAAAATATTTAAAGATCGGTCAAATTTCCGCTATACATTATTTTGTAAGAAGCTTAATAAGGGCTTGTTCTCACAGCAGATGCTTCTGATACACTAGAGGATGTTTCTTTCACTGAAGAGCAGCCTGTTGCCAGTGACAAGTGCCCAGTTGACCAAGGTATGGAATTACATTGATTACCTTATTACATGAAATTTTCGCGGCATGTTTATTTCGCGATTTTAATGAGAGCATTTTTAAATCTCGCGATTTGCCAAAATTTTTAAATTTTGAACCACTTTCATTTCGCGTTTTTGAGTACAATAATTTACATTTCATGGGCAATGTTATTTAACATGTCCTTGAATAAAATAAATAAACGACTTTATCAAAGGAACCGTAACGTCAAAATTAAGACTAAATGTCAACAGTAACAACGAAGCAGTTCTCAATGTCCACAAGCAGTTCATTCTTATACGTGAATTATTGTTCTTGAGTCAGTTGACCACAACATCCATTTGGTAAAAAAAACACTTTTCTAGGTATAATCATCCTCATATTCTTCGAAATTTGCTCTAAGTCATTATAGTCAATGTCACAATGTCACATAGTGACATTGAAGACCTCATTGAATATCAGGCAAACCTGAAAAGTGTTTGCAAGTTTAAAGTTACTCGATTCTACTTAATAATTATTTTGCTTTGTAAACAACATAATTGGGCCTTAGACACTTATGCCATTGATAATTGCACATAAATCACAAAGGAGCAACTCTAGATTATTTAAAGGTTGGTGAAATATCTCTCATGATTCTCTTACGCATTCATGTTCTTTGTTGGCAAGCTCATTTGGTAAAAAAAACACACACACACACCGGAAAAGTTTGGGAGCTTTCGAACTGAATCCTCGATAAAGTTCGTGCCTTGACACCATATTCGTGTACAGAAATTCTCGTTACTAACCCTTGAAGACTAAGAAATGGATTGAACCTGACTGGTATATTAAAGGCCCGGGGGGTACTGCCATATATGGGCTATATAGGTATGTGCCGCTGTGAAGGGTATGGTTTTCAAGCAGTTTACTCTAGGATAGGGTATATAAATCAGAGCGTTTGGGTCTAGAATAGGGTATCATTTTTCAGGAAACTGATCAGTTGGTTGAAGATTTATCTAGACTAGGGAAACAGCTACTCTAGGATAGGGGGGATTTGGGGAGTTTACTCTAGTATAGGGTAGCAAAATTCAGCTGAACTAGCTCTGGTATTGGTTAAGTGTTCCAGGGTCCCAGCGGCACATCCCCACCCAGAAATTCCTAAAGTACCCCCCCCCCCCCCCGCCCCGGGATTAAAGGAAGGAAACACCGTTCTACTGCTTTGCATATCTTGTGAGTTATATTCAACCCCAATTCCCATGCACGTCAAAAAGCTTAATTAACAGTTAATGAATGAGGCTGAGTATCTTATGAACAATTATGGAGAAGAGGGTGTTATCGGATAACCCCCTAAGGGCGTACGGTCTTGTGTGTGCAACTCGCGGCACTAAGTTTCGTAGCAGGTCGGAAGCAGAGTAACTTCGCTTGAGAAATGTTATGCACGCCTTCTCCCTCCTCTGCCGCAGCAGAATTAAGCCTGATTTCTTGAGCGCGTCCTCATAGCACAGAGAAGGAAAAATAGTTTTTTAGCGCCCTCTTTTGTATTGATTCAATGTGATCACTTAAGTATTGCGTGAGGTCAGCCCAAGCGGGACTCGCATACTCTAACACAGACCTGATGATACTACAATAGACAAGAATACGCTGCCTATCAGTTAGTCTGCACTTCTTAAGGGCGCGTATTGCATAGAACCGCTTACTCCCTTTCTGAAGAACTGTTTTGGAATATAATCTTAAAATAGAGTTCTAGTACTTTAAAAAGTTATGATCTTTCTTTTTACAATCGAATTTACTCGGAATTCCTATTGCTTCTTGAGCTTAAATGTTTTGTATCAAAGTGGATTGCAATGCATAGTAAGACCTGTGATTTTTAGAATAAGAGTTTCAGTTGACACTTGTAACCTTTGACTGTCAAAATTAATGACGTTACTGTAAACTGATACACGGGGCGTGGTTCCACAAGGGTGGTGGAGAAACAATGGTTTAAAACATTCAATATATACATTATTTAGTAAGAAGCTTAGTAACGGCTTGTTCTCACACCAGATGCTTCTGATATACCAGGAGAAGTTTCTGTCACTGAAGAGCAGAATTTTTGGGCCATTTTAAAAAGTACAGTAACGTGGTGTTTATTTATTTGTTGCCTTTCTGTTATGGCTTAAAACATGTTCTTTCCGTATGACGGCATTACTCTTATTCTTTTTTCACACTGCAACGAGCTTAGAAGCCTGTTTCCTTATGCATTGGCCTGTTCACGGACCCACTGTTTTCTCTTCAAAGTCCGTCGAGCCCGGGTGATAAAATATAAACCGCAAGGGATTTATTGACTTTTTTCCTCGCGCTCCGCGCTCGTTCTCGCGTGCTCGCGAGCAGGCGAGCTTGCCGATGTGTTCGAAAACGTCTGTGTACCGGTTCCTTATGCATTAGTTAAAAAATATTTTTTCTCTTGAATCGTAAAAGCGATTTCTGCTTTCTATCAATAATTTTCAGATGAAGCAAACACTGTAAAGATGTCAATCTCCACACGTGATTTAAGAAGTGAATTGGAGGATGTTGTGGATCGAATGTTAAGACAACAACTTGAAGTGTACTTGAAAGACAAAAAAGAAAACAAGCTTTCCACGGCCCATGGACTGAGTAATTTCGTTAAGTATTTAGAAAGTACTTATACCTTTTCCTTAACATCTCTGGGAGAAGGATCTTTGGTAATAAAAGGTCAGTGCCCCGACCTACAGAGTCTCGAAAGTCTTTGGAATGACTACAATTCTGGTGTCCTGAATGAAGCTGCAGAGAGGTTTTTAGTCACTGATGACATAAAGAGAGCGATCAATTTGGAAACCGTCAAATTAAAGACCATTATTGAGGTAGACAACTATTTGTGTTGCAAAAAAGCTCTTACGGAAGATTCAGGTGAGTTGGGCCGTTAGCACAATTTCTTGGGCAATTATTCTTTAAATAAGAAACTGACATAATTGCTCTGTTAGTGTTTTATAGCGATGTACTCAAAATTATACAATGGATCTGTGAAAACCGGGTTAGCAAACATTTTGTAATTTCTCTCAATTTCCCGGGCAGGCAGAACTCAGGTATGTGGTCACGTTGTGGAACTGTTGCACCAAACTATTCTGTGCAAACCATAAAAACGTTTCGTCGGTGTTTCTCTACTCAGGAAAATTGGGTATAGGTCTAGTTTCAGCGGGATCCTAGCTTTTGAACAATAGGCCAGTTTTTGCAGATAAGAACTAAGGCCAGGTGATAATTTGTGAACTATGTTTCAATAAGTTTGTTGTCTCTTCCATGCGAAATCCTGTCATTTATCGGACTACGAAGAAAGTAGTGTTTTGCTAACTAACCAGGCACTTTTTTGCTGCATTTTACTTAACTTAAAAATTTCGAGACTGAAATGACACCGGTCTAAAACTTCATGGAGTCAGATTACTGAATATTAACTGTTCTAAAATTTGTGCCATTTAGAAATTGGACTCGTTGAAATGCTTCTAGAGACCCCTAACTTACTTCCTGGCGTCAGTAAAGACTTTTCATCTGCCTTTGAATGATTTTTTATTGTTTTACATTGCAAAGTAGTAGAATGAGTTAATTTTTGTGGCTAACCCGGTTTTCAAAACTCCAGGTATAAATTGCACATAAATCACAAAGGAGCAACTCTAACTCAGTGAAATGTCTCTCATGATTCTCTCTGGCATGCATGTTCTTTGTCGGCAAGCTCATTGGGTAAAAATAAGCACTTTTCTAGGTATAATCATCCTCATATTCTTCGCATGTGCTCTAAGTCATTATAGAGAGGTGACAAGCCACTATGTGACATTGAAGACCTCATTGAATATCAGGCAAACCTGAAAAGTGTTTGCAAGTTTAAAGTGACTCGATTCTAATTAATGATTATTTTTCTTTGCAAATAACATAATTGGGCTTTAGACACTTATTCCATTGATATAACTGCACATAAATCACAAAGGAGCACTAAGACTCTAAATTGGTTAAAGGTCAGTGACAATCTCTCATGATTCTCTCTTGCATTGTTAAAAAAAAAACGCTTTTCTTGGTATAATCATCCTCATATTCTTCCCATGTACTCTAAGTCATAGAGAGATGACAAGCCACTTTGTGACATTGAAGACCCCATTGAAGATCAGGCAAACCTGAAAAGCGTTTGCAAGTTTAAAGTGACTCGATAGTACTTAATAACTATTTTGCTTTGCAAATATCGCAATTGGGTTTTAGACAATTATTCCATTGAGATAATTGCAAAGAAATCACAAAGGAGCAACTCTAAAATATTTAAAGATCGGTCAAATTTCCGCTATACATTATTTTGTAAGAAGCTTAATAAGGGCTTGTTCTCACAGCAGATGCTTCTGATACACTAGAGGATGTTTCTTTCACTGAAGAGCAGCCTGTTGCCAGTGACAAGTGCCCAGTTGACCAAGGTATGGAATTACATTGATTACCTTATTACATGAAATTTTCGCGGCATGTTTATTTCGCGATTTTAATGAGAGCATTTTTAAATCTCGCGATTTGCCAAAATTTTTAAATTTTGAACCACTTTCATTTCGCGTTTTTGAGTACAATAATTTACATTTCATGGGCAATGTTATTTAACATGTCCTTGAATAAAATAAATAAACGACTTTATCAAAGGAACCGTAACGTCAAAATTAAGACTAAATGTCAACAGTAACAACGAAGCAGTTCTCAATGTCCACAAGCAGTTCATTCTTATACGTGAATTATTGTTCTTGAGTCAATTGACCACAACATCCATTTGGTAAAAAAAAACACTTTTCTAGGTATAATCATTCTCATATTCTTCGAAATTTGCTCCAAGTCATTATAGTCAATGTCACAATGTCACATAGTGACATTGTGACATTGTGACATTTATATTCAATGAGGTCTTCAATGTCACATAGTGACATTGAAGACCTCATTGAATATCAGGCAAACCTGAAAAGTGTTTGCAAGTTTAAAGTTACTCGATTCTACTTAATAATTATTTTGCTTTGTAAACAACATAATTGGGCCTTAGACACTTATGCCATTGATAATTGCACATAAATCACAAAGGAGCAACTCTAGATTATTTAAAGGTTGGTGAAATATCTCTCATGATTCTCTTACGCATTCATGTTCTTTGTTGGCAAGCTCATTTGGTAAAAAAAAAACACACACTTTATAGGTATCATCATCCTCATATTCTTCACATGTGCTTTAAGGCGTTTCGATACAGGTTTTCAGAGGCCATACCGATATTTTTCAATCGCCTTAAAAGTGTTTTTTTCATTGTCCGATCGCTATAAAATTTTCACCAGTATTTGGCTATGGATTGAAATTTGTGAAAATGTAGTTTTAGGTAAAATCGATTTTACTATGACGACAATAACCAAAAAGCTTTGAAATTAATAAAAGCCGAATTTTTTACTACTAGGTACTGAAAATCCAACACTAGGAACTTAAAGTTTGGTGTTTGGCAAACAATCTCCTTGATAAGTAAAAAATTATGTATGTTTGAATTCGAATAAAAGGAATATATATATCAAACCTTAAATTTTCAATAGCCGTGATAGATTATTTAATAAAAAGGTTATAAATGACTCAAATTATTATGCGGGATGACGTACTCAGCCAGCGTCTTAAATTCGGGAGCGCATTCCTTTCGTCGTCTTGGGAGTCAAAAATTGCCTTTTTTTTAGCTTTCCCGTATCCCGTGCCCGTCCCGAAAAATTGTGTCATTTTTATTTTTAAAATCGCGCATTGTCTTTCGTGTCGTGACAAGGCATTACGTATCACGTACTAAAAATAAATACGTAAAAGCTAACCGGATCCACAAAAGCTCATTTGTCCTGAGCATTTCACCGATAATATAGAAAGAAAATACTTCCGTTCTGCGCTTAACTGCGACGACTTTACTACAAGATTCATGATCTATTCAAAAGAGATAATAGTTTTGGGGCGGCCGGCACTTCCTCATAAGAGGCTAATTGAGATGTGCCACTGGATGGGGTCGCATTTTCACGACTGGATTGACCATAATGGGGTTTGCATTTTCAATAGAGTTACTAGAATGGGTTTCACATTTTCAGATTTTTGGGGTAAGAGAGTTGTTCATAGTTACGGTTAGCAAATTTACCAGGATATTAACTGTGGGTGAAAAGTAAAGTGTTTTTCATTCAATGGGGCAATTCATTTTTTGATGACCTATTTAAAGGATTGATAAGGTAGATACATAAATAGAAAGTGACTAAGTTGGGATCGCAAGAATTACATATTTGCCCAAAAGTGACTAATATGGGGTCTACAATTGGCCAAAGAATAGACTATAATGGGGTTGGGGCTCTGAGAGGCCAGCGGCACATACCTAACAAAAATTAACCCAAGTAACCGCACCAGGGTGCGCCGCAGTTTCGTTGAAATCATAACAGTTTTCCTGGAAAGCTCCACGGGATCTCAGTCAATCTTAATAAGCGAATTTTCTTTTCAACGTAAATCAAACTGATTAGTAGAAAGAATAGTGCCCTTATTTTTGACCCCAAATTTTTTTTATAAAAAATACATAAACAGACCAGAATCTTACTTTTCCATTTAAAAAAAATGCCATGTTTCTCATAGTGGCGCGAAAACTTACTTTCATATGACAACATGCGGGTTGTTATTTTTCATGAAAAAAATATTCACAAAATTCTGCTTGTCTTGTTAAGAAAATAATTTGTTTAATTTTTAATAAGCTCACTGATTTATTAATTTGGGCGACAAACTTGAAGGCCCGGGCACCCCAGCTAAAATGCTTGGGGAGCCCGAAGGGCCCCCTGAAATTTTCCCTAGAGTACAGCCTTGCAGCCCTATTGTTGAGTGTGGAAGTGCATTTTTTGAGGACATTAGTAAAGGAATACAAATTTTAGTGAACTACCCCATACTCCTAACATATATGGTGGTAATATTGATGTAAGTTTTGTTTTGAGTAGCAAAGGAACCCTTGTGTGTAACTCATCCGTTCTAGTGTATTATTCCTGAACAGAACATCTTCGTCTCTCCTGCACACAGTTGTTGCATACACTACTCAACTTTCCATTGCCATTGAACATACCGGTAATTCTTTCTCACACCAACACATCCCGCGGGCGCGTAAACGTCTTCGGGCGTCTTCTTGTTCTTAAGTAGAGTCAGAATGCAGCTTAATATCATATTTCGATGCTAAGAAATTTTCATTGGTGTATTTTCGTTTTAGTGATCTTGAAAACTAACCGTTTTCTCACCACCTGTACAAGTGAAACTTCATTCAAAATTTGGACTTTTAGCGCTTTTTTGTATATCCTTGAAACGACTCGAACGTATTTTTTTCAAAGTTATTTTTCCACATATCCTGAAAATTGCACGCACGACTAGTGATCAAACCAAAACTCTGTAGGCCCGGGCCTACAGGTCCATTAAAGTATCAGTGAAATGTGTCTCATGATTCTCTTATACATGCACGTTCTTTGTCGGCAAGTTCATTTACTTAAAAAACCCTTTTCTTGGTATAATCATCGTCATATTCTTCGTATGTGCTCTAAGACATTATAGAGAGATGACAGGCTGCTATGTGACATTGAAATATCAGGCAAAACCCAGAACTATTGCCTGAAAAGTGGTTGCAACTTTTAAGTGTTTCGGTTCTTCTTTATGTTGCACTTACTCCATTGAGATATTAAAAAACATGTTTTACACAAATCTAATTGAATACTGACCTTGTCTCAAGTACATTGCCACCAAGGACCTAAAAACGGCTGTCTCATCATTAGTTCAGGCCTTTCAGAATATCTTTGGCTTACAAGGAATTGCTAAGCCGTAAGAAAGGAGTTTTGCTGTTTGTTAAATCAGTATACTATTGCTTTACACCTATAATGACTTAGGCTTCAATTTGGCCTCAAAAAATTTTGCTTTCATATTTAAAAGAGCTTGTTTAACACACGTTACCTACCATACAGCATATACCTCAGTGGAAGACACTTAAAGCGATCTATGACAAAGGTAGTTGTTCCTTCTGATTACACATGATTTATCCCACTGCATTTGCTAAAAATGGCTATCGAAATTTCTATCATATACCTTTACCGAGTCCTTTTTTAATTGCAATGTTTGCATTGTTATTTTTGTATTTATCTCTCACCGAATATTCAATTTTAGTGAATACGCTACCGTTGATAGACTGTCATGAGCTTCTCATTGGCTATTAATCTAATCCCCCCTCCAAAAAAACCGCTTTTCATAACCTCTCATACTTCTCTTTGTAAATCAGCGCGCGTTGTAAACTGCACTCGGCTCTCGTAGTGGGTTGTTTACTACAGTTCTGTTCTCTGTTTGAACTTGTGTGAAAAATATCGAATCTTTTCTTATTGCAGAAAGAGGGAAAATGGCATATTTGACTGGAATCCTTCTTGACGTCTCCGGTTCGATGCGTCATAACATCAGGAGAGGTACTGATGAAGAAGGAGGACCATGGGCTCGCTCGATCTTTGAGGTTATTGATAACCTTATCAAATATGATATATCCTCTGATAACCATGTATTTGCAATAGGCGTTGGGGCATGTACTGGTGAGGGCACATTTGATATCATAGGAACTCTTAAACAGATTCAGTATGAAGGCGAAAAAACTGAAGGTGATGTTGAGAGGCCTGCTACTAGTACGCAAATAAACATGATTTTCCGAATATTAGAGAGATCCGGCGCACTTACTGTTCGCAAATGGGCAGCGGAAGAAGTTGTCGTCAGGGCATTGAAGTATAGAGAGGCTGATTTGTTACTGAACAAATTGAAATCTAACAGGACGTTTCTTGAAAAATTTGTTCAAGAGATTCTACCACCAGCTTGCCGGGATTGGTCTGAAAGCGCCCTGGCGAAGATGACAGACCTATCTTTTTTTACTAACACAATGCAAGGTGCGTTTGCATCAATGGCAACCAGCTTTAAAAGAGCTACAGTTGCAGACATCAGGGAAGTATTTAATAAGGCCAAGCCTTGTTTGCTGAAAGAAGACAAAGAACAAGTATCTCTGTTGAGTGTGACTGTTAATTCCATTTTCAAAGTTAAAGATGCCTTAAATGTTCTTCATGGGTGCGTTGGTGAAAAAGAACTCTCTAAAGAAAAGTCCCGGGAACTATTGCAGAGCGTTGAGCCTTACATCTACGGTGGCACGCCTTTATATCAATCGATTGAGAAGACAATAGAACTGTTTCAAGCTTCAAGGTTTTCCAGTCACAAAAAGCTGCTGTTCATCTTGTCAGCCGGAGAACCCACAGATGGAAAGACTACATGTGCTGATGGTGCAGGAATAGATCGAGTAGTCTCTAAATTGACCACAGCAGGTGTGACCGTAGTGAGCTGCTTTGTCTCTCACTCCACACAAATTGAACCCAGACGACTGTTCAGCGAGATGGCACCTGACTGGGATCGGGGTGCAAAGTTCCTGTTTTCATTGAGCTCAAAAGTGTCAACGCAATCGCTACCACGCACAATTTTTGTTAAACGTGGTTGGACCATCGATCACACCAACAATGAAACACACTTGTTCTTGCAGTTAAATCACCCAGACAACTTGCGAGAGATCTGCGAGGTAGCTCGAAATGTCGTTTGTTGTCAAGACGCGTTATCTGACTTGCTTGCATCCGTTGAATTAGATCTCTATATCAACCAAGAAGTAAAGGACCTAAGAGCCAGAAGACAAGAAGGGGAGACCTGTTGTGCAGAAGCAGCTGCTACAGTACTTTATTTGTCCATGAGAAGAATTCTTGGACGCGAAGGCGGGTATCCAAATTTCCATGAACTAAGAGAAGAAATTGTCAAAGAATTTGGTTGGGAAAAATATCCAAGCGGTGTCCCTACCATCCATGTGCTACAGAAAATGTGCCCGAAGTATCGCCTGAGGTGCGAGCGAGTCGACTACAAGGGAGCCATGAAAGCAGTCTCTTCAAGTCGGCCAGTGGTGGCAACATTTAGGCTCACTGAGAAGGAGTGGGATATTTTTGAAGAATTCTATGAAAGTAACCCAAAAGGCATTTTGACGAAGAAGGAGATCGAAATAACAGCCCGTCGTCCCAAAACTCCTGACTTTGGCCATGCAGTTGTGTTAACCAGTTTCGACAGTGAATGTTTGCGACTGCTGAATTCTTTTGGAGAAGACTGGGCAGACCTGGGATTTTTCAGAGTGGAGAACGCAAATGTTCTTGGATTAAAATTCATCGACGTTTACTGGACAGAAGATGATTTGAAAGAGGAAGAAATAAACTATTTCAAGAAATTTGGATCCATCAATGCCGGGATATTAATGGAGTTGTTGCCAAGTCTTGAGGGAGCTGAATACAAGTGCCCCAAATGCAGCAAGAGGTCGTTAGTCTTGGAGTTTACTGGAACTTTGTCACACGTAAAGTGTCCCAGATGCGGCAAGGAGTTTTCCACAAAGAATTCCCAGGAAGGGAACATGTTGGCTCTTAACATTCATCTTACTTCTTTAATCAGATAAGTTTTCTTGCCGTTGTGCAATTCTAACAAATTGAAGACTCGTTTTAAGGGAAAGAGACAAGGGTACCCCATCACTGAAATAACTCGAACTTTTAGTCAATCGAGAGGCGTGTTTAAACTTATATATTACTAATAACATTTTCTTATTTTAAATCTAAGCTCAAACATGCATTTTGAAAGTTTTTAACAAGTTTTTTAATAGTATTTAATTTTTCTTGTACTTTTTCTATTTTTAAGCGAGTTTTTACTCTTTTATCATGTGTAGTTTTTAATTATTTGAAGTTAATTGTAGTATAAGCAGGGCCCCACCTGAAGGGCACCTTTTGGTGTAGTGGGCTCCTTGCTAAAATATTGTTATTACGTCAAACCCTTTTAATAAGGACACCAAAGGAACAGAACCAAGTGTCCGCTTTACAGAGGTGTCCGTATTATAGAGGTAGGGAATGCATGATTTTTAGCATTTCTGGGACCAAACGAACTGTCCGTAATAGAGAGGTGTCCGTATTATAGAGATGTCCGTAAGGAGAGGTCAAACTGCCGTATGATTATTATCAAATTATGGTATTTTCACTTTTAGGTTCATTTTTTGGGCACTTTTCAATACGCAGCTAATGAATTCTATTTAAAAGTATGTTTTTCTGATTATTCACGATTTGCGCTCTATTACACAGAGGGTGGCTAAACTGCTAATCAAAGTATTGTTTTACTTTGAAACTTCGCGCGTGGTCGCTTAAATGAACGTCTCTGGACGTCTCCTTTAGTTAGCTAATTATTTTTCGTGTTTTTAGCCTTCTGTGTATAATCGTGTTTTCTCTTTATTATTAGTGTAACAGTGAAAAATGACTCTGAAAGGCCCTGTGGGGACCAGCCAATAAGATATGTTTGTATCTAAATTGGACGGTAGCAATTGAGTATATTTTAAAGGTAAAGGAGGACAATTGTAGACGGTAGCAAAACAACAGCGGAAAGAGAAAAAAAGCATAAAACATAACATAGAGTTGTACTTTTGATAGGACTTATTTTGGCTTTTGTAATTCGAAGCTTCTGTTTTATGATTTAAACATTTTGGTTAGTTTTAAAATAAAAGGCTGGCAACATGCATAATGCCTGAGTATATATGTAATAAACACAACACCACATGGAGAATGCCTTTGTGCAGTATCAACGAACTCGTGAAAAATTAGCGTTTTTTGCCGAACACTCTAAGCGATATAGACCGTTAAAGGAAACGACAAGTACCCCTGTTCCATTTGGGCGTCTCCGAGGCTTTCAATCCCTCACCTCTCTCCTAGACACTTTTCCTTTATCAGCGGCGAGGGAGTAATTTAACTTGCAGGGGGGGAATGTGTCTCCAAGGAAATCTATGGAACAGCCTGGCAGTATGACGTCACGTCTCGTGTCAGTGACTTTCAAAATGGCGAGCAAAGTGTTCATCGAAGAGACGGATAAAAGTCTCGATTTTATCACGGAAATACTGTTCCGATTTCTTGGATTTGGAGGTCCCTATTGTCATAGAAAACTAGACTTAAGTACTTTTTTGGAATGAAATGTCCAGTGGTGTAATAAATTTTAAATATTCCTTTCTATCGTCGAGCAAATTTTACGGGCAATCATACCGACCGGTCACACTTTTGAGGGCCCGTGCGCAGCAAGATTGAGGAGTTTAGACACAGCAATAGGAGGTTCAACAAAGGTTGCATTATACCTTACAATGTGCGTATTTTCAGCTCTTCAGAGCTAGTGAAACCCCATATCAATCCTTTCAAAGTTCGCTAAGCTGAAGCGTTAAAAGAGGAAGCTAAATGACAGGCACTTGTGAGAGACTGAGAGCACTGAATCTTGTTGCTTTACCGCATTTAATTGGGCGTACACCTGTAATTCTGTAATTAAATCCCGAAAACCAATAATAGGTTTCGTTTAATTATTGTTTTTGGGCAAACCCAGTGGAGATTTTAGGGTAATAGTATTGATGATTAAGACAATGTACAAAAGGCAAGTTTAAATTTCGCCAGTGTATCAGTGGTGAGTGTTGGGTGTAAATTAGTACATAATTAGGAGATTAACAGAGGCCCACACTCGAAAGGATTGATATGAAGTTAGGCCCGTTTAATTAGCAAAAGAATAGATGAAATATAAACATACGCAACACGTCCCGCAAAACAAATTAACAAAATTATACAATCACGGACACAAAATACCAAAACAGTTTACACAAGCAGATTATAGCAACACCAAAGCTCAAACATATTCGATCAATTTAGCAATATATAACAGTATTTGCTAACTTCTTAGCTTTTCCTCGGCCTCGCTCGTCCTCATAACTGTCGTATCCCTTGGTAATTTGCACAAGCGACCCGAGGCTCTTGCCCGTTACTATGTGACGTCATACTGGCAGGCGGAGTGGGCCAAGAAACGTAGGTGGAAAACAATAGAGTTACCTTTGGATTGTCTAGAAGTATCAATTTTAATGACTTGCCATTTAAAACAAGATTTTCACCGAAACTACTCCTAGATCTCCTCTACCATACAAACTTTAGGGAACAGTGTACATAATTTTTTTTAACGGTTTAAGACAAAGTAGCATTTTGAAATGAAGAATGTGTTCAAAGTAGCTAAGTAGCTTTCCCTCTGGCTAATGCCATTATTGATTTCAGCGCATCCTGAGGATCTAAGGGAACTCATTCTGCAGTCGACATCTTTTTCTTGGTGTTAACTACAAAATCCCACCAGACAGTACTCTATTTTTTTTTCCATTGACCTTGGACGTAGTTTTGGAAAATGCAAGATGATTCACTTTCACCAATGGTTTGACAAGAAGTAGTGTCAGACTCACTCCTCTCTAGCCGTTGATTTCAGTTTCATTTCATACATATCTATGTATATATACCAGTTGATACGTATGCACGTTTATCGGCAGAGTGCTCAATTCCGTTCAAATCGCTGTAATTTGTGCTTGTAAAAAAATATTTTATCATTTGCAGGCCCGATCTGGCAAGCCTGAACAAGCAAAACGAAATTGTAACTTCCTGAAGGCACGCGCGCAAATTTCTTCTTAGCAGCTTTACATCTTCCGTTGTCCCGCAATAGTTTTTTGATTCAAATTCTGGGCGAGCGTTTGTAGTCCTAGCGTATGTTATAACGAACGTTTTGTTGGCAATTTTATCTGAGGAGTGCCGTACATGCCGTGCGGTACGAAACTAAGTAGTAATAAATATGCCAAGTCAAATCTCACGTTGACACCAGACAACCTTGATTAGCTTTGATTATCTACGAATATAAGTATGTCTGTATTTATATTTTCCTTAGGATCATATTTATCCTGTCGATTTGGAATGAATTGTTTGAAGTACTTTGGAAGAGCTTAGCAAAAATCTCATAATTTCTTTGTCTATGCCAAATAAAATAATTTTATCAAAATTAGAAGCTGTATTGTATGAATCGTATCTCTTGCTATTTGCCTGGTCTCTTTAAGGGCATCATCTCAGAGAGCTGTTGGTAAAAACGGGGTATAAAGCTGACATTTTACTAGGTTAAAATAAATGGCAATCGAAGGTTATAGAACTTAAAAGGTAATGTTTGTGTCAGGACTGAGCACGGCAAGCTTCTGTTTCGAATAATTTGAGTCTGGTCTATAAGAAGACCATCATTTTATTTATTAATGTATTCTTCAACTCTAAAATATTAAGGAACATTTGGGCTATTTATACGAGGAAAAATAAGACGCGAACTTTCAGTATAAACGGTACATTTCGTCCAAAATAAGACGCGACTTAGCTATGACGCCTCTTATTTTAGAACAGCCCTTAACACCTGTTCTTTGATAAGACGCTTCTTAGCAAAGACGAGAAAAACTTTGTATAAATGACCTTCGCGTCTTATATTAAGACGCGAACGCATAGTACGCATGCGTTACTTTTTGGCGGGAAAATTTTCACGTGCCCCGCAGCCGACTGATAGGCTACTGGCAGGGAAAAGTTGTTTACAAATTACAACGCATTTTCGTTTCCTTGGGTTGCCATCTATCCGAAAACTTTTATGCTTTATTTTTTTCTTCGCTAAAGTATAATCAGCACGCCGACAAAGGCAAAACGAAACACGTGGTCCACCACTGAAGAAAAGGATTTTTTGTTGTTATGCAAGGAGAGGTGCAATAGCAAGACCTCCTGGAAGACTCCCCCATTTTCATTAAAACAAGTCTTCAAAATATTGCGCCTGCGGCAAATCGTAACATGACACCGCCACTTTGAAACGGTGCGCCATGTTGGATTGCCGTGGCTACCGGCAACATTCACATGAAAACAAGTCAAGAACAGAAATAAGACGCGAACCATTTATATGAGCTGTTGTCGTCTGAGATAAAACATGTTCGTATAAATGGTACAGTTCGCGTCTTATTTAAGACGCGTCTTATTTTTCCTGTTACCAGCCAAAGATAGGAAATACGAAAATTGCTCGCTGAAATCATGTAAGGCTTACCGAGTCTGTCGAGAAACAGGTGGAAATTTTGAGCGTACTCCACAGCTCGATCGCGCCTGCATTTATACGAAAAAATTAGTTCTAATTTAAGTCTTTCATTGATAAAGACCAGAGTATAATGTCCTGGCAAACAAAAAACAAACATAACGTCATCTTCTATCAAAACTACCACGTCAACAACAACAACAACAACTGAACAAATTTATTTATTTTACTCAAAGCAGAATATTAGTTGTTTCACAAGTTTTTAAAATAATCAATTAACTAAAAGGGGTACTGACTTTCTGAAATAACTAATAAGTTAAAAATGCCAAGAAGCCAGATTCGGTAAGATAATTTAAATAAGTTTATTGTGCGGGGTACAATATGGCAGCATATCAGACTGTATATACACACAAACACACAGATATACACATACACACTAGCACGTATTGCTGTAAGAAGAGCGAAAAAGTAGGATGGAAGTTACGAAGTACAAGATAATTGCCAAATTTAGTACAGCGAAAAAAAACCGCCGCCTGGTTA